AAAATTTAGCCAAGGTAGGAATTCTATTTAAAGTTTCAAATGCTGTTCTGTTATTCCTTTGGTTTTTACCTCAACTCTGAGCCAAACTATGTAAAAGCCAAAGAGATGATAGAAAAAATTTAAATGCCATGGTTATTGTTTCCATTATTTTAAGAGAATGCTTATCTCTTTTTTATAAACACGACTGGCTCTTTTCTGATTTTTTTCCCTCAAAATAGAAATGGCTTTAGCTAAATCAGATTTTTTAAAAAATCAAAAGGAAGGAAAATATCTGCCTTTTTATCCTGTACAAAAAGGAAGTGACCAGGTGGGCTTTAAATGCACGTACAGTCCTGATGAGCCAGCCAAATCAGGGTAGCACTTGGAGGATGGGGGAACCATTTCCATCTTCAAGAGTAAAGCTGTTTCTCGTACACCGCTAACAAACATGGGCTACGCCCACCCTGGATCCAGTGCGTTTTCTCTTTGTCCTGCTCTGGACTCTGGTTTCCAGTCTTTAACCCGGCCGACCGAGGCAGTGGGGCCGGAAGGTTCGGACCGCGAGGCCCGCCTCCCCGCTCCGCCCTGTCTTGGGGGCCCGCCCCTCGACCCTTCCCAGCCACGCCCCAAGCGGCGGGCTGCTCTTTCTAAACCGCCTCCGCCGTGTGTAACCTTCCGCCCCACGGCAGTTTTCTCGCTCCACTTAAGAAACGCATCCTGTGCGGTTGTGTGCGCCGCCTGCCTCGTTCTCGCTCTGCTGCTCTGTTCGGGAGCCCCTTCACCCCCGCCACCTGGGGGAGCTGACTCCTTGCAGAGCTGAGTGCGCTCTTGCCCCGCGTTCCCCCGGGGCGCAGTTTCCAATCGCCGCCCCTGCTCTGGCCTGACACCTTGGGGTCAGAGCTCTTCCTATCTGTGAGGTAGCCCTGTCAACAGCAGCCTGCTCCGCTCTGCCTTGGATGTTGAGGACAGGACCCAGGTCTTAACATATCTGCATCTGGAGAACTTAGCACACGCCCCCCTCCCATTCGATGCTAGAAGCTAATGTTTCCTAAAGCACTTAGTATGTGCTCAGTAGTGTTCTGACTGGATGACAAGCTTCTGTGGATTCACTCCTCATGGCAGCCCTACAAGGAAAATGAGAGTGTTAGTCGCTCAGTCATGTCCAACGCTTAGCGACGCCATGGACTGTGCCCCCTCCCGCCACCCCGCCCCGGCTGCCCTGTCCATGGAATTCTCCGGGCAAGGATACTGGAGTGGGTCGTCATTCCCTTCTCCAGGGGATCTTCCTGACCCAGGGATCAAATCCGGGTCTCCTGCATTGCAGGCGGATTCTTTACCGTCTGAGCCACCAGGAAAGCCTGCCTTACAAGGAAGGGATGCTATTATTTCCACTTGATAGATGAGGAAACCAAGGCATGAAGCTAGTAACAGATGAAGCCCGGATTAAATGCAAAGCCTGGCAGTCAGATCTCAACCCTCATTTACCCAGTGTGTTCAGCCACTTACGGGAATCCTCAACAGAGAGCCTTGGGTGAATGGAGGACAGAAACGACAAGGGAGATAGGAGTATGTGGTGATATTGAATGTATCTAGTTTATCCCACACCTCTGAGAAATTAGATACCGCAGAGATGTTAGTTTTTCAACTGATTAAAATGATTCCTTTTGATTTCCTGATCTCAGGCATTATTGTTGGCCTTTTTTGAGGTGAGGTTTTTGCCCGAACCTTCAGGAGTTAAAAAAAAAATTTTTTTGTTTTGTTTTAAAAAGTAAAAACTTTAAAAATGATTTTAAATGAAGTAATCTCAAATCAATCATTTATTTTCCTGCCATATTAAAATAAGTCATGGGGGCATAACTCAACCTTCTCTGAGTGACTAGGACCATCATTGTGATTAGCAAATAGTAAACTGTATTCTGAACCTGTGCTGTCCTGGACCTTTGACATCAGTAGGATTTATTATCAGCTTGTAAGTAGCAGGGACCATACCAGGTAGTTTTGTTACTGTTCAGTCGTTCAGTTGCGTCCGAAGCTTTTCAACCCCACAGACTGCAGCCTGCCAGGCTTCCCTGTCCTTCACTATTTCCCCGAGTTTGCTCAAACTCATGTCCATTGAGTCGATGATCCCGTCCAACCGTCTCATCCTCTGTCGTCTCGTTCTCCTCCTGCCTTCAATCTTTCTCAGCATCAGGGGTTTTTCCAGTGAGTTGGCTCTTCGTATCGGGTTGCCAAAGTATTGGAGCTTCAGCTTCAGCATCAGCCCTTCCAATGAATATTCACAGTTGATTTCCTTTTGGGTTGACTGGTTTAATCTCCTTGCTGTCCAAGGGACTCTCAAGAGTCCTCTGTGAAATCAAAAAGCATAGTGTGGTCAAACCTTTGGAAGAGCTGTGCAGTCTCAGATATTTATATTACTGTGCATAACTTACTGTTCAGTACTAGAGAAAAACAGAGACTTGTCTACTTTCATGCACATGTAGGTAAGCATTTGTTTCTTGTTTGCATATCTCTTTATTTTAAAATCTAGAACAGGTTTAAGAGGCATACTGGTTTTCTTTTCCTTCCCACCGCCCTCTTTTTTTAAATTGTAGTATAATTGCTTTACAATGTTAGGTTCATTTCTGTTGTACAACTATGTGAGTCAGCTGTATATATACATAGATCCCTTCCCTTTGAACCTCTCTTCCAGCCCCCATCCCACCCCTCTAGGTCATCACAGAGCTGGATTTTTGTTTTTTAATTTTATTTATTTATTTTGGTTGTGCTGGGTCTTCACTGCTACAAGGGCTTTTCTCTGGTTGCAGTAAGCCGGGGCTGCTCTCTAGTTGTACGCTGGCTTCTCCTTGCCGTGGCTTCTCTTGTTTCTAAGAACAGGCTGTAGGCCTGTTCAGTAGTTGTGACTCCTGGCCACTAGAGCACAGGTTCACTAGCTGCTCCAAGGCAGGGAGCAACTTCTGGATCTTCCTTACAGATCAGGGATCAAGCCTGCATCTCCTGCACTGGCAGGCGGATTCTTTACCAACTGAGCCACCAGAGAAACCCCACAGAGCTGTTTCTGATCAATGACTATATTAGGTGATGAAATGATTCTATTTGAGGGCCATCAAAAGAGTTTTCAGATTTATATTACAGCATTAAAATTATCCAGATACCCTTTTCCAAGGGGGGGGGACTTACTTACAATCTACCTGAGATGTTAAGATTATTTATTTACATTCTAAATGAGGTCATTAAACAGTTTATGACTGAGTGCCAGAGGCGTGGTATAGAGATGAGAAGTCCAACTTGTGACTGTGGTCAGGAAAGGCCTCTGAAGGAGGTGGTGAGTAACCCCGTTGCCCAATGCCTGTGTCAGAATTATAAACTCTAAATTAGCTCTGTTCAATGGAACAGAAGTGAATCACAATGTGAATCACATATGCATTTCAGATTTTTCTAGTAGCCACATTAGTAGTAGCATTTTTCTAGTAGCCACATTCAAAAAAGTAAAAAGAAACATGCAATTAATTTTAACAGTATATGTTTATTTTACTCATTTTGAAATAGTGTCATTTCTGAATGGATAAAAATGTGGTATGTATACGCACACACAAACATACACATATACAATTGAGTACTCTTCAATTGTAAAAAAAAAACAAAATTTTGTCATTTGCAATAACTTAGATGTACTTAAAGGGCATTATGCTAAGTGAGATAAATCAGAGCAAGGTAAATTATGATATCACTTCTATGTGGAATCTGAAAAATACAGCAAAGTAGTGAATATAACAAAGAAGAGGTAGACTCACAGATATAGAGAACAAACTAGTGGTTACCAGTGGGGTGGGAGCAAGGGCTAGTCTTAAGGGTTGGGTGGTAACAGGTACACACTATTAGGTATAAAATAAGCTACAAGGTTATATTATACAACACAGGGAATGTAGCCAATACTTTATAATAACTATAAATTAATTTTTAAAATTGTGAATCACTATATTGTAAACCTGTAACTTACATTGCACAGCAACTATACTTCAATTTAAAAATAAACGGAATAAAATATTATCTCTTCAACATGTAATCGATATTAAAACACTGAGATATTTTGCATTCCTTTTTTTTTTTGGTACTGTTTTTGAAATCTGATGTGTATGTCACCCTTAAAACACATTTCAGTTCCAATTACCCCAGTTCAAAGGTTCAGCAGACACAGGCCGACCAGGTAAGACAGCACAGCCCTAGATGGAATGGGAAGAATAGTACACAGCCATTGGAGAGAAGGAAAAACATGGGCATTTAATGACCATCTTCTGTGGACCAGGCAGGTTCACATCTGGCATGAGGCATTTAATGAACAAAACATCAGTCCTGTTTTTATGGAAAATTCTGATATTTTGTTCATCATGAATTTTTGGCATTTCGCATTAAAATATTATTTACTTTGATTACAGAGTGTTTGGGCCCCTTTTACATTTTGTACCCAAGACAGGTGCATCATTTCCCTCACCCTAATCTCAGGCCTGGCAATAGGCACTTCCTACTAACTTTGCCAATACCTCATTTGGGGGCACTCTCCTGAACCAAGCTGAACTGGATATCAAAACCAGGAGTGAACTCCTCTAATTGCCTAAGCCTTGGACATTCATTTTGTTAAATTAATTTTCAGATGAATTCACCTTAGAAATAAAAAGACACTGGTAGACATATTGAAATGGAAACTGAATCTATGAACTGAAAAATCTGAAAATGTTTTGGAATCAAACTATAACCTCGGAGAGAGTTATTGGTTTTGATTGCCTAGTCAAAATAACCCCAGATTGCTTTTCCAAATTATGGGGAAAAGAAGGAAAGCAACAGGTTTTTGACTCTCTCTGGGGTCTTATTTCCTTCCCACATTATAGCTGGAATCTCCAGTATCTGCAGTTTCTCCCAGTTTACTGAGAATGTGTGGAAATAACTTTGATGATGAAAGAAACGAAAAGTGTATTACTTAACAAAATGTTGCCTATTTTCAAACAAGATCCTTTTCTTTCTTTTAGGGAACTCAGAAACAAAGACGATATTCAATTTGGAGATAATGGAACAACAATATCTGCTGTGAGCAACAAGGCCTATGTTTTTGAACGAGACAAATCTGTTGGAGACCCGAAAATTGACTTACTTAGAACATTAAATATTCCTGCGTTGGTAAGTAGGCATTTTAAATCTCATTATTGTGGATTTTAGAAGAAAGGAAAAAGCTAAGTTCATTACAATTTTACCTTTAGGAGCTATTAAGTTATATATATGAGTGTATATATATATATTTTTTAAGTATGTATATATTTTAATGTTTTATATATATATGTATATATGTGTGTGTGTGTGTATATATATATTTCCCCTTCTGTTCTTTAAAGTTCATTTTAGACTTTGAGGTCTTTCAAATGTGGTCTCTTCAAATGGTAACAAAGTGCAAATTTTAAGATTTTTTTTTCTGTTTCTTCCTGTGTGTTCAGGATGAGACTTGTGCAAATAAGCGTGTCTTTAGGATTTTGGAGGGTAGCTGATCATATTTAAAGTGTTTATTTTCCCTCTTGTTTTGGTTCAGAAACTCTAGCAATAGAATTTGCTTGCTACTTTTTTTTTTAGCTTCTTATTTTGTATTGAGGTACAGCAGGTTAATAGTGTTGTAAGTTTCAGGTGAATGGTGAAGGGACTCAGCCATATACAGACATGTATCCATTCTCCTCCAAATTCCCCTCCCATCCAGGCTGGCACAATATAACACTGAATAGAGTTCCACACAAGGTCCTTGTTGGTTATCCATTTTAAATATAGTAGTGTGTACATATTTAGCTTCCTATGATGGATTTTTTTAAATCCTCAAAATATGTATTGACTTTCCCCCACCTCCTTTTAAATAGCAGAGACTGGGCTGTTGAAGACAGCCCTAGACCTAGTATGAAGACCTAGTATAATTTATTGGGCTCTGTTTTTAACGGCAATTATAGCTAATAAAAATACATGAGACCCAAGAAACTTCTACTCATTCCCTCGGAGGCTCCCATCCTACTTCCTAGGTGACCACTACATATGCACCTGGACAATTATGGTGGACCCAGGACCTGGAAAGTATTAGACCCCAGATCAAGCCTAGCCCAGCTGCCTAATAGGACAGTTTATGGGGGCGCCCCCAGCCTCTAGCCCTGATCAGGAGGAAGATGGTGCCACCTTGTGGCAAAGATGCCAGTGCGTTGCAAGAGTTGTTCCCTTTCTGCGGTTCCTGGGTTGCAAGTGAGGATCACATTTACAAAATGTACTGCTGAGAAAGAAGAGATTTATTCTTCACATTCAGCCACAGAGGCGCTCACTGGCTGATTTTTCAGCTGTTTGATCTCAGCACTTATATTTAGGTCTGCAGCCCCCTTTGCTGAAGGGGCAGTAGGTGGGTGGGGTGCAGACACAGCTGTCTGAATTTGCCTGTGCTCCTCAGACCGCCATGGAATGGACCCAGCTGCCCTTACTCCGGGATCTCATCGAGGCCCTGCTGAAGGCCTATCGGCAGAAGCTCTTTGTGACCCACACAGTGGATGAACTGCTCTGGGGTTACAAAGATGAAATCTTATCTCTCATCAGTGCTTTCAAACACGACATCTCTCCTTATTTTGGCCTGTTTTATGGGGTAAGTCGATTTTTCTTTTCAGAAACTGTGTGTTCAGCTGAAGAGGAGGGTGTTCCAAGCCAGATTATATCTTCACTTTGGGTGAATCGCTTGTACAGTATGTGAAAAATAAGAATGTGCTTTAGTAGGGGAAGAAAAACTTCGCCCACAATTTCAACATGCTACCATCACTGACTTTGAATGAGTGTGAAAAAATGTATGAAGTGGGGCTGTGCCATTAATCTTTCAAAGTGTCATAAATATGAGTGATCAGTGTCAAGTCTTGTTTTTTTTTTTTTTTTCAAGTCTTGTTTTGATGGCTTAGAGACTAAACCCATGGATCAGCCTGACAAAGGCAAACGAGAAACTAAATAGGGATGTGATAGTACATTAGGGATGGGAAGTATTTATGTTTTCAGACATCTCACTTGTGAAAGATGTTGGATAATTTGAAACTCCATGTGCCCCTCACCTATGATTTATTTAGCTTATAAGTGGAATTTTGCATCATTTCTTTGCAGATTTTATTTACTTTGATTTGCAACCCAAAAAAATGGGCTTCCCTGGTAGCTCAGCTGGTAAAGAATCCACCTCCAAGGCAGGATATCCTGGTTCGATTCCTGGGTCGGGAAGATCCACTGGAGAAGGGATAGGCTCCCCACTTTGGTATTCTTGGGCTTCCTTGGTGGCTCAGCTGGTAAAGAGTCTGCCTGCAATGGGTTCAGTCCCTGAGTTGGGAAGATCTCCTGGAGAAGGGAAAGGCTACCCACTTCAGTATTCTAGCCTGGAGAATCCCATGGGCTGTGTAATCTATGGGGTCACAAAGAGACGGACACAACTGAGCAAACCAAAAATACCAGCATTCAAGTAATTATTACTTGAAGTATATGTTATTAACTGCCTGAGCTTGAAATAAACTAAAAGTGAAAGTGTTAGTTGCTCAGTCCTGTCCAGCTCATGGCAACCCCATGGACTGTAGCCCTCCAGGCTCCTTTGTCCATGGAATTCTCCAGGCAAGAATACTAGAGTGGGCTGCCGTTCTCTTCTCTAGGGGATCTTCCCCACCCAGGGATCGAACCCGCGTGTCTCACATCTGCATTGGCAAGTGGGTTCTTTACTGCTAGTGCCACCTAAAAGCAATTAAAGTCTGTATCTCCCTGTCCACCCCCACCCCCACCCAGAAAAACTTAAGTAAAATGGATAGTTGAAAGGTTGGTAAATGACAAACTTAAACTCAGGAAGAGAGGGTAGGTTCAGGGCAGGATATGTAATTGTGATTAATTTCCCCATCTTTAAATTTGTGGTTATTCTCTGGCTCTAACTACTTAAGAATATCACCTCACTCTGTAATCTCTTAGCATTTCAGTTGGTAAATGGCGGTAACACAGCCCCTGTACCATCAGGGATATATAACACTTAAAAACTATTCAAACAAAATGGTAAACAACTTTTAGATATTACCTTCACAAGAGGAGGAGGGTCCTAGGACTACGGTCCCACCAACCCTAAATCCTTCACTCTGGGCAAGCAGACTCAATCGATGTTCCCTGCAAAGTTCCATCTGACAGGAGCCCAGCTTCCATGGGACAAGAGGAAGCACTGATTTCTTGTTAAATTGTGACTAATCTCCTGTCTAGAAATAATTTCAGGGAAACTCCCTACAGAAAGATACAAAGGCTACCACCCATCTGCCAAGTAGATTCTGTTCCTCATACTTCGGTATTTCTCTGATAATTTTCGTTGTATAGCTTGCTTTTTGTTTTTACACTGACCTCATCAGACTGAGCGACTCACTTTGACTTTTCACTTTCATGCATTGGAGAAGGAAATGGCAACCCACTCCAGTGTTCTTGCCTGGAAAATCCCAGGGACGGGGAGCCTGGTAGGCTGCTGTCTATGGGGTCACACAGAGTCGGGTACGACTGAAGCGACTTAGCAGCAGCAGCAGCAGCAGCAGCAGACTTATGGGGCTTCCCAGGTGTCGCTAGTGGTAAAGAACCCACCTGCCAACGCAGGAGACATAAGAGATGTGGGTTTGATCCCTGGGTCAGGAAGATCCCCTGGAGGAGGGCATGGCAACCTACTCCAGTATTCTTGCCTGGAGAATCCTGTAGACAGAGGAGCCTGGTGGGCTATAGTCCATGAGGTCACAAAGAGGCGGACATGATTGAGGCAACTTAGCATGCATGCATGCCTCCGACTTATAACTAATACCCTTAAATACCTGTTAAAAATGTAACTCACATTTACAAGCTGATTTAAGAAATTGGTACTTTTGCTTTCCCACGGGAAGAATGTGTTGATTTACTTTATTCTTTTTTTTTCTTTCTCTGCCCCCACTGTAACCCTGCAAAACCCCATTAATGAAAAAACCCTAGCATTGCTCAGTTGAATTAGTACCTGGCATGGATTTCCCACATTCAGGAAAAGAGCACGAGACATCGACTCAGAGGGTCTGGATCCACGTCCTGACTGTTTAGTTTAATAACCAAGGGACTTTTCTGAGCCTCGGTTTCATCATTTGTAACTTGAGACTAAAGGTATCCACACTTCAAAGCTTGTTTGAAATAGCCAAAATGAGAGTCCACAAAAGTGCTTTGCAAACTATAGATTGCAACACACATTTCAGGAACCCGTTTTTTCTTTTCTGTGACTCACTTGGAAAAGAAGACCTTGAATTACTAATAATATGAATGACTGGTATATGTTTCCATTTTGGAGCCAAATAAACTCTCTCTACTGTTGTTTTTAAAAAGGCAAAGGTGTTTTTTGTTCAGTTTTTTTTCTGCTCTAGCCAAATACTGACTCGATCTCCAGCAGTACAGAGGTCCACCCTTGGGCTGCCATTCATTCAAGACTGGGACAGACCGTGGGCTTGTGTACTTTGCTGGCACCTACTGCTCTGCACCTGTCTGAGCCTGGCCTTCAGTCTTTCCTTCATCCCAGGGATATCTACCACATTACACTCTGATCCCCTAGACCATTCCACCTGCTCCCCTGCACCTTGTGACTAAAGAAGAAAACCTTAGTTAAGGCCATCGAACATTTTTTTCCTTCAAAGACTTTAACGGTGAAACAATCAAATGATTTGGTTGTTTTATCTTTAAATGGTGGGACAGAAGGTGAGAGTAAGTAGGAAGAGATGATACAGGCAGTGTGTTGGCACAGAGCTCCTGAGAGCAGGAGACCTGGCTGAGTGACTCTTAGTTGCATACTGGAAAGCCAGTCAGGATATCTGTACCTGTTGATTTTAAGGTACCTCTGTTTTCCTTGGCATGAAAGAGTTCAAGCACCTCCCAGTGAGTGTGGATTCTTGGATGTATTATATAAAATGATGGTGGCTGGGAAGTATCTTCGAGAGGTCAGCCAGTCCTATTGCATGGATACATTATGCATGTATTATGCTAACAGTATGAATGAAGTCTTATTCTCAGAATATTTCTCAACTTCCTGCAGTAATATGTTCCTTGTATCCAACCCACATCCCTACTGCAATTACACAAAACCTATTTATTCCTATTTGTCCTCCAATAACAAAAGTTCTAGTGAGTAACAAGGAAGCATTGATATTCTGTGTCTGACTCTTGGGCCACTAACAGTTGGGGAGGACTCTTTGAGTGACTCTGAAATATTTAAATGCTTACCCACTTAGCTTCGCCTATATTCAAGTTAGTTGGGGGACTGCAAGAAGTAACACATATGTCTTTTTAAAGTTTGGTAGTTCAGCATTCTTTTGTGTGAATATGCTTCTAAGTTATTGTATGTTCACATTGTTGCTCTCAAAGAGAGGTCCCTTCTCATATCTTAAAGTCATTTAAAACTTCATATGTGGAACACAATGTGACTATTGTGTATGTGGCTAGTGTTGACATACTGACATATTTGGTGAAATAATATTGTGACAAAAAGAACCCAAGTAGACAAAAAAAAAATTGAAAAGAGAGTTCATAAAGGGTATGAATGTTCTTTAAGGCAAATGATTGAATGGAAAAAGAATTCAACCTCACTGAATACAGAAATGCAAAAAGAAATAAGGAACCCTTTTTCTGTTGACCCAATAAGCAAAGTTTAACAAAAGGCATCTGAGGAATGTAAATTGATGTATCTTACTCTTTCCACTGAGTGATCTTGAGCAACTTGGTAATATGTTTCAAAAGCTTTAAAAATGTTAATGTTCTCTTATCACTTTTAGTTGGTCTATTTAGAAAATAAAAGCACAGAAAAGTTTTTAGTCATAAAGATATGCATACATTATTCATAGTAGCAAAAATTTTTAAACTAGATATTCAGTAATAAGAAAGTGGTCCACCTAATATGAAGTCATTAGGTTGTACCTGGGAAGAACTTTCAATAATACAGGAAATATGTTATATGCATAACTAAAGAAATTGTATATATGTATAAAAATTGTGTATAGCCTATGCTACACATATGTATATTACATATATATATATATGTTCTATAAACACATTTTCTTTAGAGAAAAGACTGAAAAGAAACAGACCAAAATACTGAAAAAAAAAGTGTATGTTGCTTCTTGAGGTCCTCTACTTAACTCAAATGTGGTCTAAACTAAGTGGTTAAACATTTAAATGTTTCAGAGTAACCACTGCTATTTCCCAGAAATCAAAACTCCATCCCAGGTGAAGAGCTTGTAAGAATGTACAGAGTATCTGTGCCATTAAGAAGTGTAACTTGGGAAGAACATTCAACTCAAGAAAATTTTGGTTGAAGAATGGAATTATATTAATACCACTTTCTTCTACTCAAGTATAGTCAGGTCCTGGCCCTGGATTTATGCTTTTTTATTTTTTAATTGAGTTATAATTCACTTAACATAAAATTCAGCATTGAAAAGTATACAATTCAGTGGCTTTTATTATATTCACACAGTTGTGCAACTGCCTCCACTGTGTAATTCCAGAACATTTTTATCACCTACCCCAAAACCCACAGACTTAGCAGTCTCTTCCATTCCTCATTCCCACCAGTTCCTGGTAACTTGAATATACTCTGTCTCTATAGATATGCCGATTGTGGACATACATATAAATGGAATGGAATTTATATGAAATCACATAAATGATTTCACACCCATGTTGTAGCATATATCAGCACCTCATTCTTTTTCGTGGCCAAGTAATATTCCGTTGTATGGATATACCACACTTTGTTTATCCATTCTTCAGTTGATGTATATTTGATTTATTTATACTTATGGCAATTAAGAATAATGCTGCTATGAACATTTGTGTACAGGTTTTTGTATGACCATTAGATATAAATTTTAGAGTAGAATTCTCTTGGGGATATTATAGAAGTGGAATTTTGTAGTTTTATGGCAGCATTATGTATAACTTTTTGACCAGCTGACAAACTGTTTTCCATAGCAGCTGCCACATTTTACATTCACACCATCAGTGTAGAAAGGCTCTAGTTTCTCCACATCTTCACCAACACTTGGTCTTTTCTTTTTTAAAAAAATTGCCATCCTCATGGGTATGAAGTTGTATCTCATTGTGGTTTTGATTTGCATTTTTCTAATAACTGATGATATTGAGCATCTTTTCATGTTTTTATTAGTTGTTTGGATAATTTCTTTGGAGAAATGCCTCTTCAAATCCTCTGTCCATTATTTAATTGGGCTCATAACTTTTTAAAACCATAAAGTAATAATAGAGCCAGTATGGGATTTAACAAATAGTCACTCTATTCCCTAGTTCTGGTTCAGTCTCATGATGCATGTAGGTTCCACTGGGGCAGTTTCATAAAGATTAAATGTACTAGTTACTGTATCATTTAGGGTTCTCTAGAAAAACAGAATCAGTAGAGATTTGTATATTTATTGAGGGATTTATGTTGTGTTGGCCAGAAAGTTCATTTTGCTTTTCCCCTAGGATGTTATGGAAAAACCCAGATGAACTTTTGGCAAACCCAGGATTAAGGAATTGGCTTATGTGATTGTGGGGGCTGCCAAGTGGCAAGTCTGAAATCTGTGGGACAGGCAGGGTTTCTATGCTGTAGTCTTGAGGAGAGAATACTTTTTCCTCTGGGAAACCTCAGATTTTGCTTTTAAAGCTTTCAGCTGATTAAATCAACAGTAATCTCCTTTACTAAAGCTGAACTGATCACATCTACAGTATATAGCAACATCTAGAGTATTGTTTGGCCAAACAACTAGGCACCATAGCCTAGCAAAGTTAACACATAAAATGAACCATCACAGTTATCTTAAATAACAATATTTACTTATTTTCAGAAAAATGGGACTAATGATGGAGACTATGTTTTTCTAACTGGAGAAGACAATTACCTTAACTTTTCCAAGATTGTGGAATGGAATGGAAAAACGTAAGTCTAATGGCTTATCAGTATAATTATTTTTTCAATTTTTGTTTAAATTGAATGTCCACTTCTGCTTTATTTTTTTCTAAATTGGCACAATCATTTTTTGATTAAAAAAATCTATCAATTAAAAATCTATAATTATGTAAAATATCCCATAATATAAATAATATAGTCTAAACATGTAAAATTATTATTTTGTAAATCAGGATTGGGGTAAGGTACTCCACAGATTAAATACTAATAATCTGTAGGTTTCTCGCGGTTAAAGCATGAATCACAAGCCAGTGAAAAGTTTCACTCTTCCACTTGTTACTCTTTGTTGTTGTTTAGTCGCTCAGTCATGTCCGACTCTTTTGCAGCCCCATGGACTGTCCTCTGTCCATGGGATTTCCCAGACTATAATACTGGAGTGGGTTGCCATTTCCTCCTCCAACAGATCTTCCTGACCCAGGGATTGAACCCACATTGAATGATGTGTGGCTGCTGGGCAGATATTTTTCAAATTGCTGCCTGTTTGGGGGGAAGGAAAGAGATTTTTTTTAAATTTAATTTAGTGATTGTGCATTGTTTGTGTATCTTTCTTTTATGATGAAATACATTTCTGTTCAGTGCTATAGAATTTAAAAATTATTTCACATTTATAATTTATAAACAAAGTACCTCCAAAATCAAATTTCTCCAAAAAGGAACTGAGGCAGCTTGCAATTAAGTCACACATGTAGTAAAACAATTTTTTTAGGTCATAGAAATTAGAAATCTTCAAGAAAAAGGAGGCTAATTATTCAGGGACTGTGGTAAGAGGAATTTTCTTCTTGAACATTAAATTTACTTTAAAGCTTCCCAGAAATACAGGCAAGAAAACTGGTGTGGAATATTTACAATTTTCTATAAAGTAAAAACTTTTTACATTTTTGATTTGTTATAATACCTATATCCTGGTACATACACATATATTTACATACACATATACACACTCATTCCCAAGGATATAAGAACCTTGAAAGAATATAAGAAACTGGCAACCGTGTTGCCTTTGGAGGCATAAGTAGATGACTGGATACTGGGCTGAGAGAGAAATTTATTTGTAAACATAATATAGCTGGATTTTGTTTTAAAGCCAATCTGTTGTTTTCTTTTCAGTTTTTTAATATGAGAGTTTAATCCTTTTATATGTGTTGTAACTACTGACACAATTACCATATAATGATATATTATTTCATATATTTACACTTATTTCAACATTCTTTTTCACCCTTAGCTTGTTATGTCTATTTTGCCCTTAGATTATACTTAATAGTTTTTTTTTCTAACAGAATCTAAAGTTAGCTATTATCTTTCTTCTTCCAATGAAACAATACCTTTACGCATTTCTTAACACAGCTTCTGTGTTATTCTTCTCTGCAACTTGTTTCACCTTTTTAGGAAGCCAAATATAACTTAAAGTTCATTATTTTTATAGTAAATTAAAATAGCAATTTATTTTATTAATTTATTAGTACTTTTCTTCTCACATCTTCCCTTTGGGTTTAGTTTTCTTATTGCTGAAGATCATTAGGACAGTGGTTCTCAAACAGCAGCAGTTTTGCTCCCCAGAGGACACTGGGTGATGTCTGGACACATATCATCACGACTGGAGGTCGCCACTGGCATCTACTGGGTAGAGACCTGGGAGGCTGCTAAACATCCTGCAGTGTACAAGATAGTCCCCTACAGAGAATTCCATCAGTTCAGTTCAGTTCAGTCGCTCAGTCATGTCCGACTCTTTGCGACCCCATGACTGCAGCACACCAGGCCTCCCTGTCCACCACCAACTCCCGGAGTCTACCCAAATTCATGTCCATTGAGTCAGTGATGCCATCCAATCATTTCCTCCTCTGTCATCCCCTTCTCCTCCTGCCCTCAATCTTTCCCAGCATTAGGGTCTTTTCAAATGAGTTAGCTCTTCGCATCAGGTGGCTAAAGTACTGGAGTTTCAGCTTCAACATCAGTCCTTCCAATGAACACCCAGGACTGATCTCCTTTAGGATGGACTGGTTGGATCTCCCTGCAGTCCAAAGGATTCTTAAGAGTCTTCTCCAACACCACAGTTCAAAAGAGTCAATTCTTCAGTGCTCAGCTTTCTCTCTAATCCAGCTCTCACATCCATACATCAGGCTCAAAATGTTACTGGGTTGTTTGTTGTTGTTGAGTTGCTAAGTTGTGTCTGACTTTTTGCAACCCCATGGACTGCAGCACCCCAGGTTTCCCTGTCCTTCATCATTTCCCAGAGTTTACTCAAGCTCATGTCTATTGAGTCATTGATGCCATCCAACCATCTCATCCTCTGTCGTCCCCTTCTCCTGCCTTCAGTCTTTCCCAGCATCAGGGTCTTTTCTGGTGAGTTGGCTCTTCATATCAGTTGGCCAAAGTGCTGGAGCTTCAACTTCAGCATCATTGCTTCCAATGAATATTCAGTGTAGATTTCCTTTAGGGATTGACTGGTTTGATCTCCTTGGCACTCTCAAGAGTCTTCTCCATCACCGCAATTCAAAAGCATCAATAATTCTGCATTCTGCTTTGTTTATGGTTCAACTCTCACATCCATACATGACTATTGGAAAAACCGAAGCTAGACTATACTAGGTTGGGAAACCCTCTATTAGTAGTTGTTTCAGTGAGGATCTGTGGGTGGTAAACTTTCTTAGACTTTGCATATTTAAAAATATTTCACATTAAGTTTTTAATGATTTTAGTTTGGTATAGAATTCTAGTTTGCCAGTTCAAAATTATGAAGATACTACTCCATTTACTTTTGATTATCTTTTTCCTCAACTTTTTTGCAGTTTTCCTACAAATAATCCAAATTTGAATTTATTTTATTTATTCTGTTCAGCCCTTGGCACATACTCTAAATCTAAGGCCTTCTATCTTTCTTAAAATTTGGAAAACTTTCAACAATTATCTCTTTTTTTTAAACAATTATCTCTTAAATTATTGCTTCTTTGTTATTCACTCTATTCTCACTACCCTCCCCAAACTCCCACTAAATATTTATTGAAGCTTCTTGATATAGTCTCTGTATCTTGATCCTTTCATTTTTAATCTTCCTATGATTATATCTGTGTAAATTCTTTGAAGTAATGTTTCATTTAGTCCGTTCTTTTCAACTATGTACAGTCTAGAGTTTATCCCTATAGAGAGATTTTCTTTCAGAAACTGTTTCTATTCTGAGGATTTCTACTTTTTATTCTTTGGGTCTCTCTACTCTTATTTTATTCTTCCCTTTTTATTTGTTAGCAGTTTACTGTTCCTTTTGAAGGATGCTGTTCTTTCATTTGTTTCTTTGAGGATACTAAACAGCCTATTTATTAGCCAGATTGTTCAATTACTTTAATTTCTTCAAAAGTGAATTCATCTTATTATTGTTGATTTTGATGCCTATCTCTTAGCATAAGTTGCTTTCATTAAAAAAATGTTAACTTGCAGAATTATTTTCATTGGTAAGTCTGTTATCTATCCATCTGCTCATCCATCCAACTATCCATCCTTCCTCTCATGTCTCCGTAGATAGCAGGTATGCAGTAGTCCACCCGGTAACCCCCCAAACCAGTATATATGGTGGACCTCCACCTCACAATTATGCAGAGCATGAGAAAGTTAGATACCATCACCGACTCTAGTGGACATTGAGTTTGAGCAAACTCTGGAAGAGAGTGAAGGACAGGGAAGCCTGGTGTGCTGCAGTCCATGGGATTGCAAACAGGTGGACACAACTTAGAGACTGAACAGCATCACAGATCTGGCCAAAAAATCAGCAGGCATCTTGGCCCAGGTTCTGGTTATAAGGTGTCTAGGGCTTTCTGCCTCCCTGCGACTCAGCTTTGCTTTCTTCAGCCTCTCTTGCTGAGCAGAAAAAAATCCCTGCCCTAGATCCTGATTTCAAGCCCTTGATAGACCACCTTTAATCCTCACCAACCTCAGAATCTAGACTTGCAGATCTTTCTCTTGGCTTCCATACCTGCAGCCCAATAGGCCAGCAGCTTTAGCCTTCTCACTACTTGGCACTTGTCACCTTTCATTGTCGAAAAAGATGGTTGTGCTTGAGTAGAGTATAGACCTTTTAAATGTTCCCATTTATGGTTTATCAACCATTGCTATGTGATTTTACTTGGAAGAGACCCTTAATACATGAATTTAGAATTTCACCTTGACCAGAAGTTGGAAGAATTCCTGTTTTTTGCCCATTCCTTCCTCTCTTTTGCATTTTATACCATTATTCAAGGAATTAAGTTTTAAAAACCTGTTATCTCAACTGTGCTCTTAGTGAGTATAAAATCGATTTCAAAAGTAAGCTTTCTTGTGACCCAGGAGAAGTCTTCTGTTAATTTTGGATCAGAGAGCTGTTTGGAGGGGAGATAGTTAATGATCTGTTGTGAATATTATCGTCCTAAACATGTCTGTCCAGAGTTCATCTGACTGTGGGCTGGCTGTGAACACGGCTTTTGTGAATGGCAAATTGGATCGCTGCTTAAAGCACGTGGATATTTCTAAACCTTTACAGGAGATCCTCAGTTTTGAAGGAAGGGAAGAAGGATGTTTGATTGTTGTCTCTGTCAGAATTGATATTTGGAAATCAGGGCCCTGCTTTTCCCCCTCTTGATCCAATTCCCAACCAACATCACCCTGGTGTCTGCATGTGAACAAGGTTCTATGAGTAGCCAGCTCCCAGTTAGGTCTTGAGAAGTCCAGACCATTAAAAAAAAAAAAAAAAGCCTAGGGACTTTGCTGGTGGTCCAGTGGTTAGGAATCCTCCTTCCAATACAGGGGCTCTGTGTTCGATCCCTGGTCTGGGAAACTAAGACCCCACATGCCGCAGAGCTACTATGCCCGTGCACTACAACTAGAGACCCCACGTGCCGCAACAAAGGGTCCTTGCACTACAGCTAAGACCCAACAAAACCAAAAATACATAAATAGATAAATGCATCTTTAAAATAGATTAATCTCAAAAAGGTACAAGCAACTCCTGCAGCTCAATTCCAGAAAAATAAATGACCCAATCAAAAAATGGGCCAAAGAACTAAACAGACATTTCTCCAAGGAAGACATACAGATGGCTAACAAACACATGAAAAGATGCTCAACATCACTCATTATCAGAGAAATGCAAATCAAAACCACAATGAGGTACCATTACACGCCAGTCAGGATGGCTGCTATCCAAAAGTCTACAAGCAATAAATGCTGGAGAGGGTGTGGAGAAAAGGGAACCCTCTTACACTGTTGGTGGGAATGCAAACTAGTACAGTGCTATGGAGAACAGTGTGGAGATTTCTTAAAAAAACTGGAAATAGAACAGCCATATGACCCAGCAATCCCACTTCTGGGCATACACACCAAGGAAACCGGATCTGAAAGAGACACGTGCACCCCAATGTTCATCGCAGCACTGTTTATCATAGCCAGGACATGGAAACAACCTAGATGTCCATCAGCAGACAAATGGATAAGGAAGCTGTGGTACATATACACAGTGGAATATTATTCAGCCATTAAAAAGAATTCATTTGAATCAGTTCTAATGAGATGGATGAAACTGGAGCCCATTATACAGAGTGAAGTAAGCCAGAAAGATAAAGACCAATACAGTATACTAACGCATATATATGGAATTTAGAAAGATGGTATCGATAACCCTATATGCAAAACAGAAAAAGAGACACAGATTTACAGAACAGACTTGTGGACTCTGTGGGAGAAGGCGAGGGTGGGATGTTTCGAGAGAACAGCATCAAAACATGTATATTATCAAGGGTGAAACAGATCACCAGCCCAGGTTGGATGCATGAGACAAGTGCTCAGGCCTGGTGCACTGGGAAGACCCAGAGGGATCGGGTAGAGAGGGAGGTGGGATCGGGATGGGGAATACATGTAAATCCATGGCTGATTCATGTTAATGTATGGCAAAAACCACTACAATATTGTAAAGTGATTAGCCTCGAACTAATAAAAATAAATGGAAAAAAAATAGCCTAAAATCCAGTGTGACCATCTGGACTCTTTTTTGTTTCCCTGTGACAGGTCGCTTGACTGGTGGACAGCAGATGAGTGCAATATGATCAACGGAACAGATGGAGACTCTTTTCACCCATTAATCACCAAAGATGAAATCCTTTATGTCTTCCCATCTGATTTTTGCAGGTAAGAATTTGAAATGTGAGTTCTTTGACTCCAAGGCCACCAAAAATATGAGGGATGTATATAATTACACTTATTTGATGAGGATATGTATGCTTAATGAGTGACCAGCGATAACGGCATATTGAGAAACGAGAGAAAGTGTAGCTGTTCACAGCTTAGATGTGTTGGTTTGAATACCAGCTCCACCACATACAGCTGTGTGACCTTGGGAACGTTACTTAACCACTGTGTGCCTCACTGTCCTCATTTGTAAAGTAAGGACAGAAATAGTTGCCTAGCTTGGGAGTTGTTTTGAGGATAAATGAGTTACTTTAATAAAATACTTAGCCCAGGGCCTGTCACACAGTAAATAATATTAGCTCTTCATTATTATGATATCCTCTATCAGGTGTGAAATTTGCTCTGGTCTTCTTCCAGTTGCTGCATAGAAGATAAAGAAATCATACTGTGGTCCACACTTCAGAGTTCATAAGTCTTTGCTGAGTGCTAACCTTCCCGTTGAGCATATCCGCTCACACTTGCCCGCATCTATCCCTCCCTCCCGCCTGCTGTTTCTCTCCAGACACCCATGATGAAGTCTCCTCCCTGGGAGGAAGGCATCCTATTCCACACCCTGACTCCCGTCTCCCGGTCCTTACCTGTCCTGCTCCGCCCTTCACTGTCACACTGCTCAGATGAGTAGCTGATCACACAGCCTCCCTTTCCTCTCCTGCACAGTCCTGCAAGGCTTTTTATGAGACTTCTCAATTGGAGGTCAGCTAGTTACTTTGACTCTGTGGAGTCTACATTCTCAAGAATGGCTGTTCTTCTGGCTTTCATTTATTGTTGTTTAGTCACCAAGGTGTGTCCAAGACCCCATGGACTGCAGCACGCCAGCCTTCCATGTCCCTCACCGTCTTCCAGAGTTTGCCCAAGTTCATGTCAATTTGATAGGAGATGCCATCCAACCATCTCATCCTCTGTCTCCCCCTTCTCCTTCTGCCCTCAATCTTTCCCAGCATCAGAGTCTTTTCCAGTGAGTCGGCTCTTCGCATCAGGTGGCCAAAGTATTGGAGCTTCAGCATCAGTCTCTCCAAAGAGTATTCAGGGTTGATTTACTTTAGGATTGACTGGTGTGATCTCCTTGCTGTCCAAGGGACTCTCATATCTCACACAGTTGAGCACCTCCCCAGCCAGCCCTGTCAGAATCTCCCTCACCTCTTGCAGTAAATTAGCCACAAGTTCTATTCATCCTCCTCAGGCAGAGCTTTTCTTTCACTCCCCTCTCCGTCCCCGGTCTCTGCACCACAGCGCAGACCCTTGCCAGCTCTGGAGCAGACTATCGGCCACCTTCCAGCCAGCTGTTCTACCTGGTCAGTATTTGTGGAAGGACCGAAGAAAGAACATGTTTGAGTGCAATGAGCAAGACAAGGAAACCTAGGAGGCCAGGAGGGGCTTATTAAAGATTTGCCACAGAGGAAACTTATTCTTGTCTGGTACCACCACTTGTGAAGAGTCCCTTGGCAGCGCTTAGTAACGCCAAAGAAATCCGACCCCATGGTTTCACACGTCTCTCCAACATGGGTTCCCTGGCCTGGAGAACTTGGGTACCTATGTGAAGGAGACTTATCCATCGATTGTAGTGAGGAAAACACTGGAAGTGTTGACAGAAATAATCAATAAATGATCTATAACTGGAATAGAAAAGTTTACTTGGGTCAAACTGAGGGCTGTAGCCCAGGAGATGCTACTTCAGAGAGCACTTGAATTGTATTTTGTCAGACTACAAAATGTGGGAGGCGTACAAGGCAAAAACCTCAAGGTTACAGTTAGTTACATGAGTTGTTTATCAAGAAACATAACTGGACCTGTCAAGAAGTAAGGGTGCTTGTTAAACAAGGGTTGGCTGGGATCTGAAATGTTTGCCTAGCTGCAAGGGGAGACCTTGACCCTGAAAAGTTTCAGCTGACCACAGCTAGGAGATACTGTTTTGAGAACAGCTAGTGGTGTCCTTGAGTTTAATGCAGTTCAGAAAGTTCAAGTTTTCAGTGATGCAGGAATGTGTCTGAAACCACATCCACAGTGGTCACCCAATTCCCTCCTGGATGCCTGAATCACAGCTACTCCATTTTGGCTTTTAAATACATTCTCTTCATTAATGGTTAAAGCAGATGTACCAGGCATGTTTGACAGGCCATAAGACAGGCTGTTCTCGTTAGCATAAAGTTTAAGTTAATTCATTTATAAGCCAAAATCACTTCCCCATATCTCAATATGTAAAAATTTCCTCCATCCAAAGCAATCTGAGTGCCTATGAAAAGGAGAACATGAATAAATAAATGGGATCTTTGTATGATAGAATATATAAAAAGTAAAATATAGCAACCAGAGCCATGTACTTTAATGCAAGAAATCTTAAAAATATAATGTTGAAGGAAGAAGCAAATTACAGAAAGACACTATGGTATACTATTATAATAACATTTAGAAATATCAAATAGTGCCACATGTTGTTTATGAGTACGTATGTAGGTAAAATTATAAAGGCCTGGGGACTCCCCTGTGGTCAGTGGCTAAGATGCTATGCTCCCAATGCAGGGGGCTCTGGTTCAATCCCTGGTCAGGGAACCAGATCCCACATGTAACAACTAAAAATGCAAAGATCCTGCGTGCCAGCTTTGACCTAGCACAGCCAAATTAATTAGTTTTTTTTAAAAAGCATAGAGGTCTGCATGGGAATGATAAACCCCAAATTCAGGATAGTGGTTACCTCTGGGGATGCAGAGAAAGATCAGAATCAGGAATGTTACATAGAGAACTTCAGTTGTAGCCATAAATATACATTTTATTTATCTGAGTGGTGTTTGTTATAAAATGTATTTATTATAATATTTTTCTCTATTTTTCTGTTTGCTTAAAATTTTCACTAAGATGCTGCAGGGGTGAGATGTATAGTGGAAGGCAACTCCTACGTTACTCACAACCCAGTGAGAGATGTGTCCCACCTGTGGTCAGGTGATGAAAAGTGAGGCCCCCCTCAGCCTTCAGACATCCTCAGATGCAGGGATGAAGGCTGTAAGACAATGCATGTGAAAGTGCCTTGGCTGTCACTCAGAGTGAAAGTGAAAGTCCCAGGGACTGTACAGCCCATGGAATTCTCCAGGCCAGAATACTGGAGTGGGTAGCCTTTCCCTTCTCCAGGGGATCTTCCCAACCCAGGGATCAAACCCAGGTCTCCTGCATTGCAGGAAGATTCTTTACCAGCTGAGTCACAAGGGAAGTCCAGCTCTCACTCAGGTGCTATGCAGATAACTGGGTGGTTTGTGTCAGAAGGAACCACTGATACTGATTGAAATTCTAAATCTCTGAGGGCAGAATTGATGTTCTACTCTTGAAATAAATAACCAGGGCAAAATATGGAAACTATTTTTACTTGGGGGAAAAGGGTATCAGAGTACATCTAATCAAGTATCTGTCTAGTGGGGCACTTGTCCAGGCCTTTGGGAATCTGCGGGGCCCACCTTTTGTCGCCTCCTGTTTCTGCTTTGTCTCGGCTTCTCCCTGGCTTCCTTCCTTTGCTTCTGCTTCGTCCACACTGGCACGTGCCCGTGCTGGTCTGCACAGCTCTTCTTTCTTTTAGCAATAAGCACCCATTCTAACTCATTTTCTTGGTTTTCTACCACACATTATGTCTTTTTCTCAGTCTCGTTGGGATGTTAGCACAGTTGCTGCCTCTTAAACATCTTTCACTGAGTCCATCTCCTACTTTATTATACACTGAGTGGGATGAGCTCCTCTCAGTCTTTCTTTGGCCTCTTCATTTCCCGTGTATCCTGTAAATGTTTAGCCGGATTACACCTGTTAACAGTTGGCTGACTTACTGATGCAGGCAGACCATGCTGACGGGGACCCACGCTGACTTTTTATCCTTACTTCCTAACAGGTCAGTGTATATAACTTTCAGTGACTTTGAGAGTGTCCAGGGACTGCCTGCCTTGAGGTATAAGGTGCCTGCAGAAATATTAGCCAATACCTCAGACAACGCTGGCTTCTGTATACCTAAAGGAAACTGCCTGGGCTCAGGAGTTTTGAATGTCAGCGTCTGCAAGAATGGTAAGAACTCAGAGAGGGGACACGGGGGTCTGGATGTACGGTCGATGTTCTTCAACAAAGAAGGTTGTCAGCACAATAGAAAGCACAATTCTGACCTCTCGGGAATAATGTTTTGTTAGAGACAGATTCACAGACATAGAAAACAGACTTATGGTTACCAAGGGGAAGCAGAGTGAGGTGACAGCAGACACAAATTGCTATATATAAAATAGATAAAGAACAAGGTCCTACTGTACAGCACAGGGAACTATATTCAATATCTTGAATATATAGATGTATAGCTGAATCATTTTTCTGTACATCAGAAATGAACACAACATTGTAAATTAACTACAATTTTTTAAAAAGATTTGTAACATGGCTATAGCATAGTTTTTTTAAAAGCATTGGCTTTCCTGTAATGCTTTTATTGCTAGGATGCCGTGTTGGCTTTTTCCTGGGCAGTCGTTCAGGAGTTGTTTTGGTTTTGCTTTTTGGTTTAAACTGGTCCTGGGCTAGGAGTGGCTGGTGGCTGGCTGTGCTCTGTGGGTCTCCTTGGTATAAGGCGCTGACCTGGGGAGCTGGACTCCACCGTACCCCGGGTCTCCCGTGCATGTGATGGAGCAGGTGCAGCGCACCTCCAAAGGGGCAGGGCCGTAGCTTAGGAGTCCTTCTTTTTTCCCCTTCTGCTCTTCAATTGAACACATTTGTGTTTTGTTTTGTTTTTTAGTTTTTTTGTTGGAGTTGATTTACAATGTTATGTTAGTTTCTGCTGTATACAAAGTGAATCAGTTACACATATACATGTATGCACCCTTAGATCCTTTTCCCTTATACATTTTTACAGAATATTACATAGAGTCCTCTGTGCTATGCAGTAGGTCATTACTAGTTATCTATCTTATATATAGTAGTGTGTATATGTTAATCCAGCCTCCTAATTTATTTCTCCCTCTACCCTTTTCCCCTTTGGTAGCCATAAGATCATTTTCTTCATGTTACACTATTCCTGTTTTGTGGATAAGTTAATTTGTGCCATTTTTTAAGACTCCATATATAAGGGATATCATGTGATGGTTGTCTTTCTCTGACTTACTTCACTTGGTATGACAATCTCTAGGCCCATCCATGTTACTGCAGATGGTATTATTTCATTCTTTTTTTTTTTTTTAATGGCTGAGGATATTCTATTGTAGATATATACCATATCTTCTTTATCTGTTCATCTGTTGGAGGCCATTTAAGTTGCTTCCATGCCCTGGTTGTTGTGAATAGTGCTGCTATGAATACTGGGGTGCATGTATCTTTTCCAATTACAGTTTTAATAGAAATAATAGTTCATATTACTAGCAGCTTATTAGTACCAGTCACTGTTGTAAGTGCTTCACATATTTACATGTAGTTAATACATGTAAAGTATTAACTGGTTTTATGTTCAAAACAAGGCTGAAACAGAAAGTAAAGAATCGGGTAATAGGAAAGTTCATACCTTGGTAATGATTCTCATTACTCTTAAAACTAAGAGTTAATTTTAAGCAGAGTTAGTTTTAAACCCTGACCACAAAGTTCCCGGTGTTTCTTAAAAACATCTGAGCTAACCTGCTTCTTTCTGTGAAAGGTGAAATGACCAGCAGTGCAGTTAACAAAGCATTTTCTGCATCACAAGGATACTTTTCACAATCATATGCTGTAAAAATAGCCTTGTTAGATAGACCACCAGTGGCCTCTTTTTATAATTGTGGAAACCAAGGCTCAGAGAAGGAATAGAATTCTTATAAAATCTTTATCTCTGAGCAAATTCCTGCTAGAATTGAGGGTCTTTTCATATTTGTACTGTGATGTTCCTCAGGCTTCAGTTCTTTAGTTTCTGTTGAAAAACTTGGTAACCCCTTTCTCTTGATTAAAAACAATTTTTTTTTTCCCTGAGTAATGTGCTGACTTTCACCCCCTTGTCCATGTAGTTTGGAAGTTCCCTTTGGGCTAATCCTCCCTTTCCTTGTCTGTTGAGGTCATGGCTTGCAAGACTGGCCATACATCAGAATGATCTGGAGAATCATTAAAAGCATCTGTCCCAGAGCCCACATACTAGGCCCCAGAATCAGTATTTTTTAACGGGATGCAGATGATTCTCATGAAGATGGTACCTGCACGATTGGGAATGACTGTTCTGGGGAGCACACACCCCTACCCGGAGATTAGACCTCTCCTGCAGACACAGGGGGCAGTCCTGAAGTAGCACGTGCCTGATCAGCCCATGGTTCTGTGGTTCAAGGCACACATTAGTACCTTCCGCTTCCTCAAGAAGTTGATGTCAGAACCCACAGAAGGACTCTATTTTGCAACAGACTTCCTGCTTTAGTCCTTTTCCTCTTGCCTCTTCTGTGTTCCCAGATGTGGACTAAAATGTTAGCCTCCAGGGTTTTGAATTCCTCAGGGGAACATTTTGGCTAGTGGGATGACTCCTCTGGAGTCAGAGGAATCTGGGTTTGAATCCTATTCTGTTCGTTAACAAATTGGCCATGTTGCTGAAGGAGGGTTCCGGACAGCAGTTTTCTCATCTGTAAAATGGGAATGGTTATAACTTCCTTGGAATGCTGTGTGAAGGTGAGAGATAAATGTATGCACAAGACTTAGGACAGTGTCTGGCCCTTATTGTCTTCAGCGGATCTTTAAAAATACATTTTAAAGCTCAGCGTCCTTTAAAGAAGGAAATCGTGTCTTTGTGAAACTGTGTATCAATAGAGAACAAAACTGTATTTGTGACAAGTGAGATGTCTGAGCCATGAACTCAGACTTCAATTACTTGCCATTAGGTAGTTCAGATGGTAAAGAACCTGCCTGCAATGCAAGAGACTCGGGTTTGATCCCTAGGTCGGGAAGATCCCCTGGAAAAGGGAATGACAACCCACTCCAGTGTTCTTGCCTGGGAAATCCCATGGACAGAGGAGCCCGGTGGGCTGCAGTCCATGGGGTTGCAAAGAGTCAGACACGACTGAGCAGCTAACACACAGGCTAATTTTTCCCCAAATATATTTTCCTGGCAGGAGTGACTGGGTCCCACTCTTCTTTTCAAGAGCAAAACCTATAATAGTTTTCCTTTATTAATTTGCTTCTTTATTTATTTCTTGAATGGAAAATATTTTTAAAAAAAGAAAGAAAAGAAAACCAGTGTCTTCCTGTGGGCAGACCTTGATCTAGTCAGAGGCTGGGCTGATGGCAGGACCAGGCAAAGTCTTAAAAAGTTCTGCATCGGGAATTCTCTGGTGGTAGAGTGGGTTAGGACTCCATGCTTTCACTGCTGAGGGAGCAGGTTCAACCCCTGGTTGGGGAACTAAGATTCCACAAGACACGAAACACAGCCCTCCCCCCCAAAAAATAATTCTGTATCAACACATGGAGAACAAAGCCTATCTTGGGTAAAACAAATACAGAAAAGCAAGAGGGGAGGAGAGCAGTGGGGAAAATCCACTTACTGATAGAGAATTATAGGTGAAACAAATGCTTTAAGATGAGCCGACCCTCGTTGATCAGAATTCTGTCTCCATCACCTGATAGCTGAATGTCCTCAGGAGGTTTTGTAACTTCTCTCAACCTCCATTTCCTCAAATGCAAATGGAAGGTAATAGTTCTAACTTCATAGGGTTCTGGGAATGTCAACTAAAATAATATGTATAAAGCATTTGTACTTTATAAGTACAGCACATATTAGTTGAAAAATAAATAATTCAGCTAGTAGTAGTAGTGTTAGTCACTCAGTTGTATCAAACTCTTTGCTACTCTGTGGAATAAGCCTGTCAGGTTCCTCTGTCCATGGAATTTTCCAGGCAAAAATACTAGAGTGGGTTGCCATTCCCTTCTCTAGGAGATTTTCTTGGCCCAGGGGTCAAATCCGGGTCTCCTGCATTGCAGGCAGATTCTTGATATAAAATAATATAGGGGTAAATGACATGTCAGAAATTGAAGTATAAGAATCCCAAGCTAGGACTTTTAGCCTGACCCTCTCCTCCACTCAAGTTTTCTGTATCCAGCTTTCCACCCCTCACTGAAGAACTGGATTTGTGGTCAGGAACTGTATATTCAACTTAGACTTGAAAGAACCACATCATTCATTTATGTTTTCCTCACATTGCAGGTGCACCTATTATTATGTCTTTCCCACACTTCTACCAGGCAGATGAAAAGTTTGTCTCTGCCATTGAAGGCATGCATCCAAATAAGGAATATCATGAGACGTTTGTGGACATCAATCCTGTGAGTACACCTGGTTAAAAAGCAGACATTTTATTCTTTCTATACGGTGTTCACCAGTTTAGCCCTGAGCATTCTTGAGAAACATATTGTCTTCCTTTCATTTACATATTCAAGTGGAGGGAACTCGGCTCAGTGCAGTGTGATGCATAGTCTCATAACCCGGCCATTAGAAGGCTAAGTTCTATGAAGCTAATATGCAGAAATATCAGCAAATCCCCTTTAACACAAAAGCAACAATGAAAGTTCCATCATTGGAAACCACTGGAATCAAACAAGGTAACCTGGATCTTCTTCTGTTGCCAAAAGAGTGGACCTGAACATATATATGCATTTCTCCCACTGGGCCACAGATCAGCAGGGTGAAGATATTCATCTGCTTACTTGCTGCCAGGAATGTTTTAGTTGAAATTTAAATAAAAAAAAAAAAGATACACTATGGTTGTGATTAAAAAATAAATAAATTAATTAATAAATTAAAAAAAAAATAAGCTTTAGTCGCTTTTGGCAAAACACTTTATACAGGTGTTTTTGAGAGTTATTATATGACAACATTAATTTAAAGGGCATCAGATATACCTACACTCTAATCCCATGTTCATAGAGGAGAGAAACTAAAAACCATGTTAAAAGGATATGAGTATCATTTCATAGCATGAGAGCCTCTCACTGTAGGAACTGAATGTGATATTGTCTTTCCTGGGATTCTGAACACATGCATCGGACGGTCACCCAAGACCAAACACATTCTTTGAGCACAGCAATTTATGGGCATTTCACTCATAACTACTCGTTGCATTTACATTTGAGAAACTGGTGCCCTTATCTTATGAGGGTTTCTCAGGTGGCTCAGTGGTAAAGAATCCACCTGCCAGTGAAGAAGAAGATGAGGGTTCGATCCCTGGGTTGGGAAGATCCCCTGGAAAAGGAAATGGCAACCCACTCCAGTATTCTTGCCTGGACAATCCCATGGACAGGGGAGACTGGCAGGCTGCAGTCCACGGGGTAACAAAGAGTCGGACATGACTAAGCTAGTGAGCACACACAGTACATCTTATGAATAAGATCTGGTGTGGTTTTCTCCCTTTTCTCTCTTAGCCATCAGTCAGGTCCTTTTCAGCAACCAAACTGTTCGCGGGTGCTTGTCACCAGGGCAAGGCACAGCCCCACACCCTTGGTGCAAAGGTGGAGTGGCCATGGGGGCTCATGCTGCATCTGCCCTCTGGGCTCTGTGGGGTGGGCCTGGCTGTGCATGGGCACCGTTCTCTGGCTGTGACCACACCCTCCTCATAGTGGTCCGACCCTCTGCCCGCATACCCAGGCCCGACAGTCCAGCTCAGCCCAGTCACTCAGTCACATCCGACTCTTTGTGGCCCCGTGGACTGTAGCACACCAGGCTTCCCTGCCCATCAGCAGCTCCCAGAGCTTGCTCAAACTCATGTCCACTGAGTCAGTGATGCCATCCAGCCATCTCATCCTCTGTCGTCCCCTTCTCCTCCTGCCTTCAATCTTTCCCAGCATCAGGGTCTTTTCCAAGGAGTCAGTTCTTTACATCAGGTAGCCAAAGTATTGGAGTTTCAGCTTCAGTATCAGTCCTTCCAGTGAATATTCAGGACTGATTTCCTTTAGGATTGACTGGTTTGATCTCCTTGTAGTCCAAGGGACTCTCAAGAGTCTTCTCCAACACAGTTCAAAAGCATCAATTCTTTGGTGCTCAACTTTCTTTATAGTCCAACTCTCACATCCATACATGACTACTGGAAAAACCATAGCTTTAACTATACAGACCTTTGTTGGCAAAGTAATGTCTCTGCTTTTTAATATGCTGTCTAGGTTGGTCATAGCTTTTCTACCAAGGAGCAAGCATCTTTTAATTTCAGGGCTGCAGTCACCATCTGCAGTAACTTTGGAGCTGAGACCCAACGGGGTATCTGTTAAATCTCCTTCCTGCCCAGGTCCTCTAGCACTTTGCTATTCAAAGTGACAGCATCCTGGGCTTCCCAGGTGGCTCAGTGGTAAAGAAGCTGCCTGCTAAAGTAGGAGACGCTTGTTCCATCCCTGGGTCAGGAAGATCCCACATGCTGTGGAGCAGCTAGGTACCCACAGGGGTACCACAACTACTGAACCTGTGCTCCATAGTCCGAGAGTTACAACCACTGAGCTCACGCGCTGCCGCCATGGAAGCTTATGCACTCTAGAGCCCGTGCTCAACAGCAAGAGAAGCTGCGATAATGAGAAACCCATGCACCGCAACTGGAGAGTAGCCCCAGCTTACTGCAACTAGAGAAAGTCTGTGCAGCCACGAAGGCCCAGCACAGCCAAAAATAAGTAAATAAAAATAAAATTATTTAAAAAAACCCCAAAGTGACAGCATCCTGCCCAATCTCAAGCCCCAACCCAGACCTACCGAAATCAGAGCCTGCATTTTAACAAGGTCCCCAAGAACTCACATGCATAGTAGAGTGTGAGAAACATTGGTCTCCCAGGCTCCTCACCCAATCCGCAGTTCTCATTCCCGTCCTGGGGAATAGTTGTCGCTTGTCCCACTTTGCCTGGCAAACATGGTGGTCGCTGCCCTGTTTATCAGAACTGCACAGAAACGGTGCTCTATTGAAAAAAACTGCGTGTGTGGTTTTAATAAATGCTAATGTTTTCTTTCTGCTTTTCTGATTTGCAGTTGACTGGAATTATCCTAAGAGCAGCCAAGAGGTTCCAAATCAACGTTTATGTCAGAAAATTAGATGACTTCATGTGAGTTTTGCTTCTTTCTGCAGAGGCAGAGGGTGGTTTTGCTACATTCACTTTCTGGTGGGGTTGCTGTTGGGAGGGGTACTGCGCACTTCTAAGTCTTTTCACCCTTGTCCTTCAGGGATGAGGCACCATCAACTTTTTCATGGGCTGCCTTGGTCTCGGAATTTACTTATCTTATTTAAGCAAACATGTATAGAATTCTTTCCATGAATCAGCCATTGTTATAAGTTCTTTACATACATTAACTTATCGATTCCTCACAATAACCCTGTGGGGCTTCCCTGGTGGCTCAGATGGTAAAGAATCCGCTTGCCAATGCAGAAGACCCAGGTTCAATCCCTGGGTCAGGAAGATACCCTGGAGAAGGGAATGTCTACCCATTCCAGTATTCTTGCCTGGATAATCCCATGGACAGAGGAGCCTGGCCATGGGGGTCACAAAGCGTTGGGCATGACTGAATGACTAACTTTAGTTCACTTCATTCCCATTTTACAGATAAGAAAACTGAGGCACAGAGAGGTTTAATAACCTGCTAGAACTAGAATTCACACAGCTAGTGAAGCTACAGAGGCTGTTCTTACCCATCTACTAAGCATTTTCCATGGGCTTCCCTGGTAGCTCAGCTGGTAAAAAAAATCCACCTGCAACGCAGGAGACCCTGATTTGATTCCTGGGTCGGGAAGATCCTCTGGAGAAGGGATAGGCTACCCACTCCAGTATTCACGGGGTTCCCTGGTAGCTCAGGGAAGGCTAGATAAGGCATGTCTATTATATAGATACCATATAGATATGGTAAAGAATCCACCTGCAATGCAGGAGACCTGGGTTCCATCCCAGGGTTGGGAAGATCCCCGGAGGAGGGCATGGCAACCCACTCCAGTATTCTCACCTAGAGAATCCCTATGGACAGAGGTGCCTGGAGGGCTGCAGTCCATGGGGTCACAAAGAGTCAGACATGACTGACTAAGCAGAGCAGACAGCAAACATTTCCCACACCATGACTCTGGTTCCCTTCCTCCCTTCCTTTCTTTCCACTGCTCCCACCCAGGGCCAGCCATGAGCTCTCCTGTGGGTGATTTAAAACTCTATGGAGTTCAGTGTCCCTCCACACCATCTAAAAACCACTACTTAGTTAGGATTCCTGAGTACAATCTCCTGCTGAGACTTTTCAGTGGAAACTGAGAAGATGCTAATTATGATTTAATGGCGAATGAAAAAACTGGATCCAAAACTGTAGTATGTATCTATAGTATCATATTTATCAATTTTTTCTGTCTGCCTGACTGACTGTCAGACTTGGTTAGTTTCCCCCATTGAATTTGCCAGATTTAAGCCCAGGTGTTTTGCATCTTTTTAGGAAGCAAGTGTGGTTTGTAAGAATGTATTTTGTGTGTGTATATAATTTAGTAGTTATGATTTAGAGCCTTAGAATCAAATTGGAACTACAGTCCTGGCTCCAGCACTTCTTCGTGGTGGTTTCGGGCAGCTTACTGTGAGCCATCATTTCCTCATCTTAAACCTGGGGCAGTAACACCTCTGCATGTGAGAATTAAGATGTGTTCCCAAGACGCCCGCTACAGAGCTGGTGCTTAGTAAGTTGCTCACTAGCTGATTGCTCCAGGCTCTTGGAAAGACAATTCTTGGTAGCCTGGTTATAAAACATTCTGAGGAATGACAGCATTGTTCTGCTGGAGCCTCCCCTCCCATAACTCTTGGGAGTATAGTTATCATTTTGATGAATTTGCTTTCAGCATCTTGTGCTTAGGTGAAGACACTTTCCATAAACATGCAACACTTCACACTGCTAGACTGTGATCTGATTGTTATGTGTTTGCAAAGGTAAGAAGGCTGCATAAATTCTGGGTAATTTAATGAATAAGTGTGCTGGAATTTTCATATATACTTGTCTTATCAGGCCAGCGTGCCATCGTAATGAGGATGTCTATAAAATAATCTTTTGTGTTGTTTTTATAGTGAAACAGGAAACATTCAAACCCTGGTTTTCCCAGTGATGTATATCAATGAGGTGAGTCCTGGGAGGGAGCCACGGGTATGTTTCACCTGTGGAAGCTTGGGGACCTTCCATTATGGTGTCTTTGATTGTAGCTATGTGTAATTTTAGATGTGAGAAAGGGCAAAGGTGATTTTTTAAAAACCTGTCTGTCCTCAGAAAATTTCTGTTTATATGTTTACATGAATCTGTCTGTGAGATTTGGAAATGACAGAAAGAAGTTTCCCTTGTCAAGAACATTATGTGGGTGAAACTTCTTTCTGGAAGCTGGTTGTGTAAGAACCAAAATGTAAAGGTGATCAGTTTACCATTCATTACTTGAGAAAAAGTGAAAAAGTGTGAGCTGGTTGAGAAATGGTTAAATAAAATGGGACACTTGCCCACTGATTGCAGTGATATGTGGTTGCCTCATCCTTCATCACAGCGTAGCAGTCTTTTCTACTTTCTGATTAACAAGCATACATCATGAATTATAGGAAACAGATCCTGTTCAAACAAAAGGAGTTTCTCTGAAGAAATTTCTTTGACAGTGTACCCAGAGAAATACTATCCCTAATTGTTAGGCAAAAATTGAAGTTTTGTAAATAAAGCATATTCTGAAGGCTCAGAAGACACCTACCCATTATGTAAAACACCTGTGATAAATTCTTCTCTAAATCACATATCACACTTACTATAGGGATATCTCCTCAATTTCCCTTCTCTCTCACCCAGTTTTGAGGGAAAAGTTGCAGGATTTTCCTCCTCAAATTCTTGACTGAACTGGCTTCCGGTGTTAACAGCAACATTTTTTAAAGTTTTGTGATTTTTCTGTCTTCCATAAAAATATTTTTTTCTTTGCAGAAGATTTAGTAACAGAGCTTAGCAAGAAAAGACAAATTAAAAATGATTTCTCATAAGACCTGCGCCAGACTGATAAACTATTTTTAACTTGCTTTATTTTCCTCAACAATGTGTTATAAAAATTGTTTTCCAAAACAGCTTTGTAAAAATAATTTGATGTTTTGCATTTTGTAAAAATAACACATGCTCTTTCTGGAACTCTTGGGGAATTAAAAATAACATTTAAAAAGTGAACTGCTTAATACGCAAGCCCCTCCCTCAGAGAAAAATGCAGGTGACATCTGCTTACGTTGCCTCATATTTTTCTGGTTTTGATATTACAAACTTGAGACCATACAGTAGATTGAGTTTGATATCCTTTTTTTTTTCCACTTAGCATTGTATTGGTAGCCACACTGATAAACTTTTGAAGGGTTTGTGATTACAGTTCTAAGACAAGGCTTTTATTGTTTCATAGGAAAAATTCAGGCAATATTTACCATTTATAGGACCTATTTGCTATTTCTCCTGGGTCATTACTGTTATTGTTTGTGGGGAGTGCCTTGGAAGTAGGGCTTTGTGAGAGTGTGGAAGGGCCCTGTTCTGCCAAGTTGCAGCATATCTGAAGTCCCCTCCACCTGAACCTTTGCTTTGACTTTTCGCTAAAGACTGGATTGCATCCAGGGAATGATGGCGTGAAACCTCGTGCTTTTGCTCCCTCCCAGAAAGAACTTGACTTTTCTCTAGAAAAGTCAAACGTTAGATCTGGAAGTGACCTTGGAGATTGCTCTCTCACCCCTTTTTCCCAGAGGAGACTCTGATGGGCCTTCACCTGCAAATTGAGCCTAAATTAAGCCTAAACTCCCAGTTGTTGCTAATAATTGTTATAGCATTAAGCTCTTCAGATACCTCAGCCATGACAACTTAAGGTGATAATACCTTTGCCTTTCATCCAGAAAGTGTTATTCTAGAATAATTCCTTATTTATCAATACTCTGTGCTGAGCACTGAAGAATTGATGCCTTTAAACTGTGGTATTGGAGAAGACTCTTGATAGTCCCCTGGACTGCAAGGAGATCCAACCAGTCCATCCTAAAGGAGATCAGTCCTGGGTGTTCATTGGAAGGATTGATACTGAAGCTGAAACTCCAATACTTTGGCCACCTGATGCGAAGAGCTGACTCATTGGAAAAGACCCTGATGCTAGGAAAGATTGAGGGCAGGAGGAGAAGGGGACAACAGAGGATGAGATGGTTGGATGGCATCATCGACTTGATGGACATGGGTTTGGGTGGACTCCGAGAGTTGGTGATGGACAGGGAGGCCTGGTGTGCTGTGGTTCATGGGGTCGCAAAGAGTCGGACACGACTTAGCGACTGAGCTGAACTGAACTGTGCGATTCTGGTTAGCCTCAAGACTTCTCCAAACACTCTCTGTTGAGACCTCTGGTCCCGATAAGTATAGCTAACTAAGAGAGAAATGATACTTTCCACATGCCATTTGTTGGAGTATTTCATTCATTTATTCATCTAATCAACTGACATTAATTGAGCACCTACTGTGTATGGGGTGCTATATCCACCTTTTAGTTGACTGAAATAAAAGTCTTGACTTTAGGAATACTTCACAGTCAAGAGGAGACAGATAGGTAAATAGACAGAATGCAGAATGCAGACAATGCAGAATGTTACAATGCAGAATGTGAAGACAGTGATGGCGGATTTTAGAATGTGAGATGGAAGCTCAGAAAAGGGGCCTTGAATGAGGCCTGATGTGGCCAGAGAAGACTTCTGGAAGGAAGTTATGCTGAGCTGGACTTTGAAGGATGAGCTGGAGTCTGATACAAAAGAAAAGCTGGTATCATGCCAATATTTCCCCTGCCTTTTTCAGGAGGAGGAAATACCTCCTGGTATTATCTGAATATTTTCTCCCTCCTTTCCCCCACCAATTTGGAGAAAAACATGCCTTCAGGAGAAAAGAGGGGACATTGATGACTAGGTGCCCCCTCTGGCTATTCTGACTTATAAATGGATTTTCAGTATCTCTGGTTTGCTGACAGGAGGACATACCCAAATTTTGTTTAATGATCTGGAAGAAAGAGCCAAAAGCTTTACCCCCTGGATATTCATTAGTAATCAAGGGAATACTATTTTCTTGCCCCTCTCCGCAGAGTGTTCTCATTGATAAAGAGACTGCAAGTCGACTGAAGTCTGTGATTAACACTACTCTGATTGTCACCAGCATACCTTATATTATCATGGCGCTGGGTGTGTTTTTTGGTCTGATCTTCACCTGGCTTGCGTGCAGAGGACAGAGGTCCACGGATGAGGTGAGCAGTGGCTGGAGGAATGTCTGCCTTACTAGATTATGTTCCCTGAGGACTTCAGCTGTGCTTCATTGAAGGGGTGTCCGTGGGCTCATGAGGGTGGACTCTGAGGTTTGAGGCTGGGCACAGTGATTTCATGGTTGTGTTACTGCTGAGCCAAATGAGGGGCAAGGGAAGTGTGTCAAAGATGGAGGGGTGATGGGATAATACTGTTCAGCGTTTCAGACTCTCTTGTTGGGACTAGAACCCCTGGGAGTAAGGATTACATCTTTGAAAAGAAGAATATATAATAGCTGAGCACCCAGGCTTTGGTGTCAGAGTGTCCAGGTTCAAATCCCAGTTTTGACTCTTAATAGCTATGTGACCCTAGAAATCGTGCCTCAGCTTCTCCATCTGTAAGATGGGATAACTGAGCCTCACTTAGGAAGTTTTTTGTGAGGACTTGATGATACTTTAAACATAAAGCACTTGGCCCAGTGTAAACATTTAGTAAGAGCTCAATAAATATTAGTTACAGGACAAAACAGCTCCGTAATTACAGAGCAAGGCAGCCAGGGATCTGCTTGGGAAGGATCCCTGGTGTATCAGGAGATACCTACCACTGAGTCGTTACTGCACAATAAATGGTGGGCACGGGGGAGTGGTTCTTTTTCTGGAGGGATGGGAACATCCCCCACATGGATGGGATAACGGTCAGGCTGGCTTCCCGAAGTGACCAACAGGCCAACCCAGGGGTCTAAACACCTTCAATGAGCCTTTCTTAAATTCTCACCAGCTTTCCAGTTAGCAACAGAGGCTTTTTCCCCTTCTCTCTTCACCGCCTCCATTAAGTGTCTGAGGCAAATATGAAGTAGGAAATGAAATAGGCTGAAACCATCTAAATCATGTTAGCTCAGATTTCCGTCTTCCACATGCTTCCAGTATGCCTCTGGACCCACACCCATCACATTAGCGTGAATTAAGGGTGAGGCAGCATCTTTCCATTTCTATCTATGGATTTTAAAGTCACTGTAAAATGGATCTTACTGCTACAGACACAGATGAAAGCCCACATAAATGTCATGACTGCTCCTACAGTTAACCATCTTCACATATTCAACAAGCAAACAGTTATTGATCACCCACCACCTCCAAGACATGGTTCTCTGATGGGTTTCCACTTGAAGGAGGCACATTAAATAATGTGTGATGAGGATTATGTTTCACGTGGACACCGGGAAGGGTACCTGCTCCAGGGGCAGGGTGAGGGTGTTAGAGCAGGCCTCCTGGAGAGGATTAGAGCTGAAAGAGACGGAACACAAGGAAGCAGGCCAAGAGAAGAGAAGGTGAGTGGGACGACATCCTTCCTATCGTTTTCTCCTCTTTCCACCTTCCTCCACCCCCTCCCCACACCTTTCCTATCTGGGGAGAAGCCGGTGACGTGACCGCCTGACCCCACTGTCCTCTCTCTTCTGGTCTCAGGGAACTGCAGATGAAAGAGCGCCCCTCATACGAACCTAATCCAACCGTGGGCCGTGCCTGGGGAAGGAAGCATGCGCACTGTTGTGACCTGGGCCATGATGACGTGGGGTGACCGTCTGTGTCCTCACGGGCTTGTCGCCTGCTGAGACAGGAGGAGGACACCCCGTGCCGGCGTGTGATGAGCCCCTTCCATCAGAGGTTCAGGAACAGGCTGACTTGGTTGGCCGTTAGGATCCTGTGGTCCCTGACAGATTGTTTTGTTTTTCATGTGTCTAGCAAGTATTTAATAAACGCTTGTAAGTTTTGTTATTGTTGGGTGCTGGTAGCTCCAGAATTTTGTGACCACTGTCGTGGTTATAATGTCTTTGCATCACTTGTTAATGCTACTTGGTCTAACTTTATTCAGTACTCTTCATTCACCAGACTTTGTGCTCAGAATACATAAATATTACTTTAGGTTGTATTCCTCCATTCATTTCATCCACCAAACCGAAGTAAATAAGAGTTCGGAATGCAGGGTAAAATGGTAAACATCATTCAGTAGTATTCAAAGGCATTTAATTTCCTCTTTTGAAAAAGTACATATTGCCTTTCTTGTGAATCTTCAGTTCATAATTCCTCCAGGGTGATAATTCAGTCTTCTGACCAACTTTTACCCAAGATAGGAATCAAGCGGGGAAGGGGTTGGTGGGGTGGTCCCCAGGAGTTGAGAGTAATAAGCACCTGAGGATTTTTGACTTGTACTTTTGTGAATTGAGAGAATGCATAAATAATGTTGGTGAGGACAAGTACAGATATCTCATATAGAATAGAGTGCTAGTTATGACCTTCGTGGGTAGTTTTTTTTTTTTTAGTCAGAATGATCTTGATGTGGAAAGATGTTTCTGGGAAAATGTAATCAGTAAATGATTTTTTTCCCCCGAACCACCCTTGCCAAATACAACTGTATTAACTACAGTACTATTGAGTGATTATTTGTAAAATTATTTATCAATATAGGAAATCTAACTATCCACAACCTAACTTACACTTAAATTTCAGGAAGTCTTACTGCACTAAATACACATTTCTTCTGGGGCAGTCTTCTTGGGAACTCTGAAATTGTTTTTATGAGTTGTTCTCTCCTCAGATTCAGTTTCTTCTGGTGTTTTGTGGCTCACTATCACTCACTGAATAGAGAAAAATGTGCCCTGCGCTTCCTGTGACAGTCGTTTTGCTGACAGATTGATGGTGTTTTAAAATAATTGCACAGGAAGTACTTTTAAGAAAGGTCGCTTGGTGTCAAAAGCAGACCCACCTGTCTGCAGAAGACCTCTTGACTCTCAATGTAACATGAGTTAGAATTGAGAACCATCCATTGTCACAGAATTCAAACATATTTAAGGGCAGTTTCTCTGATTCTTAATGCTCACCATTCATTTTGGATTGAGAAACTTGTACAGTTAAACTGGCAGACCACACAGAGAACTTCTTAAAAATTGAATCATTCTGCAGGATTTTTTTTGTTTAAAACAGGATTTCAGTTTAAGCAAACGAGGGAAAAAAGCCACAGATTTTACAAATATAGCTTATGATCCCAGTATGGAGGCAATAAATCATTTCCTCGCCCCAATTTTCCTACTCTCTACACTAAAGCAATATGTAATGTTTCCCTTTTTTGAAGGAGCAATTCATTAAACTCTCAGTTTCTCTATAAATTAAGATAGAACCTATAGATACCACAAATCACCAAAATGTGAGATGCTAAATTGAAGTTGTCTTTAGTAGTGCCAAATATCTAGATGTTTTAATTCATCAACATTTAACTAGATAATTGAGACATCTTACTGTTATGCACCCACTTATTCACATAGATAAAACAGATAAGTCAATGCATACCTGTTGATTCATTCTATTATCAAGATATAATCATCTGAGAGGAGGAAATTTTTAAATACTATGATAACAGTTAAAGATGTACACATTTTGACTGAATCCCACACAGCCAGGGACCCCAAAACATTATTTTCATATGATTCTTAATAGTTACTTGGCTTAAAAAAAATCACATTTGATATTTTCCTCCTAAAAAATCTGGGGCAAACCCATACGCTGCAGTCAAGATTATAGACTGGTTAAGAACAAATGTACCTATTTGGTTTTCGGTTGAAAATAACAAACCGTTCCTCGTGATCATTTTTGTGGAGCTGTTATCCTAGACAGGCTCCCAAAATCTTTGTGACTGTCACAATCAAAGAATACCATGTCCTGTACTATGATGCTCAATTTACAGAGAAACCCAACACAGAGAGTTTACGTCCCTTCTCTCGGGGAAAACTGGGAGTTGAACACAGGACAGGAAATGGGCTTTGCCACTTTTCCACTCCAGGCTTCTCCCACTAGACTTTATTCCAGAAAGATCACTAATGGTCAAGCAGGGCAGGTACTACACAACTAACTTCTATTGGGTTTTTACTTAAGAGAGACTAATTCTTTATTTCAAATGCTTGAAATGACAGTTCTGTAAAAGGTGACCTCCATCCTCGGCCCTCTGAGTACTATCACTGGGATTAATTGCTTGTGACTATTAAAGAGAATGCTGCCCAGAATGTCCTTCCTGTAGTTTATACTGCTGGTTCCTTTCATGTGATTCTTGACATGTGTATTTCTACCCTTAATGCAATGGAATATTTCACTAATAAAAAACTTTCTATGAAATTGCACTGGAAACTGTATGTTATGTCATCAGGTGTTCAGTAGTCTATGGAGTTTCATTTGAAAGGTGCTCTTCGCCCTGTGGATGGAATCAGGCCTGAGTTATACCCCTTAGGCCACCTCCAATTTGAGCTCAAACTATGATGGACAGTTATAGGCAGCCTGACAAGCCGCCCTTCAAGTAGGTCCGATGCTGTGCGTTTTTGCCTCAAGTCTTTCTCCGGAGCCCTGGAAGCCCCCCAGGAGTATGGGGATTAATACTCCCAATTATTCATGCTCTGGGGCTTCCCAGGTTGCTCAGTGGTAAAGAATCTCCTGCCAATGCAGGAGATGCAAGAGACGAGGGTTTGATCCCTGGGTCGGGAAGATCCAGGAAATGGCAACCCACTCCAGTATTCTTGCCTGGACAATCCCATGGACAGAGTAGCCTGATGAGCTGCAGTCCTTGGCATCGCAAAGAGTTGGACAGGACTTAGTGACTGAATAGCAACAATAACTGTTGCTCAACCAGAGCAGGCAGGAGTCAGCTGATAAGGGCTCCATCCTCAGAGGGCCAGTTCTCAAGCTCACTCTACGTGGTTCCTCAGCCAGGGTTGCCCAGACCAGAAACTGCCCCTGTTATCATTCCTTCATCCCTGGCCTCATGGTCCTTACCCCCGCACTGCTGCTTCCGACCAAATAATCTACCTGTTTTAACTATCCCTATTCAGGTCTGTTTCCAGGTAAATGCAAACTGAAATACAGACAAATCCACCCAGAGCGCTCAGCAAGATCAGAGAGCTGTTGGAGAAATACTAGACCTTTGTGACATTTGGACTGAAGTTATTAGCCCCCAAATTTAGATTATCTTTAAAACCTTTCCCATGCCAATAATACTGCAACTTATTTCTGAAGTCAGAGCCAATCCAGATCAACCATAACATTTAGCTCAGTGTCACAAACATCCTTATATTATTAAGGATACTTGAAAACCTCAGTGTATGTGCTTCCTAGGGACTCCCAAAGCTGATTTCAACTGGCTTACGTCACAGGAAAAGTTGTGGGATCATAAATGTAAACTTTCAACAAAGCTTCATGATGTTCTGGGAACCTGATTTGGAGCTGAGGGAAGGCTTGACTAAGGAAGCAACATTTGATTGAGACTGAAGAACAGGCAAAGGGAAGCATTGCAGACAAAGGTAACTGGGCGTGCCCAGGAGCTGGAAGGAACATGTTACATGTGACTGAGATGATATTTGGCTAGAATTCAGAGAAGGAAGAATAGTGGGAGATCAGGCTGGAAAGAAAGGCAGTCTTACTGTGCCATGGTAAAGATTTTGTTACATATTGTATGATTCTACTTGCACCTGGTACTTAGAATAGATTCGCAGAGTTTGTAAAGAGTGGTTACTGGGGGCTGAGAGAGTGGGGTTATTGGGTGCTCCCGTGGTTGTCTAACTCTTTGTGACCCTACTGACTATACTCCAGCAGGCTGCTCTGTCCTTGAGATTGTTCAGGCAAGAATACTGGAGTGGGTTGCCATTTTCTCCTCCAAGGGATCTTTCCAGCTCAGGGCTCAAACTTGCAACTCTTGCATGGGCAGGCGGATTCTTTACCTACTAGCACCACTATTGCTAAGGCCAACAGGAAGCCATCAAAGGGTTGTGAACTGGGCTGTTGGGCGGTGCAGGACAGGGAGAAGAATGGGAGATATGACATGTTTGTTTAGGAAAAACTCACTCTAGCTGCAAGGTGAATAAACTGGAAGAGTCAACCTGGATACAGGGAGGTCAGTTACAAGGCTGTTGTGTTAGGTGGTTTCTTTGGGGTCCCCACTGACGTTTTAAGATGGATTTTGTCTAGGTATCATGAACCAGCTGGCAGGGTGAATTCCACAAAGTTGCAGAGCATGGATTAATTAATGGGTTTAATATAGAAAAAAAAATTACAGGAAAAGGAAAGCAGAGACCCTCCATCTTCTTGTCATCCCATGGAGAGGCAAGCTGAGGGTCAGAGCTCTGTTTGTTTCAGTGCAGAGAGCATATTTACCTCTTTATAGGACGAGTGTGAAAAGGCAGTCTTGTCGATGGAGGAATACACAAGCAAGTGAGCAACAGGCAGTTTGGCCTTGGGCTGCCTACAGAATGTTACAATCTCCACTGCTGGGGTGAACACACCAGTTACACGGGACCCACCAATGGGTGCAGCCCTTCCCCTCCCCGAGGAGAAGGGGGAACCCCCAGTCACAGCTCGCTCATTCACCAGGCAACCTAGAATGAACAGCCAAGGTCATAGTCCAACTGTCCTGCTCACTACACAGTATGGGCTGCTGCAGTAATCTAGGTAGGAGCTGGCAAACATTGGTTTTTTTGTAAAAAGCCACTTAGAAAATAGTTTAGGCTCTGCAAGCCTCTCTGCCACAACTACTGACCTCTGTTCTTAAAGCATGAAAGCAGTCATAGACACCACGTAAGGGAATATGTCTGCCACCCAAAGAAACTGTGTTTATAAAAATAGCAGCCCACATTTGGCCCGTGGGCTGGCATTTGCTGATCCCTGGTCTGGGCAAGAGGTTACAGAAATTTGAATCAGGGAGATGGCAGTGGAAATGAAGTATTTTTTAAATATTTAAAAGATAAAATATGTAAGTTGTTGTTGTTCAGTTGCTAAGTCGTGTCCGGCTCTTTGCAACCAAAATAATGGGACTTGGAGATAGAAATGGGAAAGGCAAGGGAGAGAAGCATATCAAGGCAATCATTCACCCCACAGTACTGAATAAGAGCCTGTTGTGTGGATGGGCACTCTGTTAGCACTAGGAACACAACCAGTAAACAAAGCAAAGTTTTCTGTCCTTGCAGCACTAAGATTAAGAGCAGGTGTGCTAAGTCACTTCAGTCGTGTCCGAATCTGTGTGACCCCATGGACTGTAGCCCGCCAGGCTCCTCTGTCCATGGGATTCTCCAGGCAAGAGTACTGGAGTGGGTTGCCAGGCTCTCGTCTAGGGCATCTTCCCAACCCAGGGATGGAACTTGCATCTCTTATGTCTCCTGCATTGGCAGGTGTGTTCTTTGGTGGCGGTAACTGCTAAGGATATTGAAGTAGCCAGTGACAGGAGTGGAATCAGGGGAGGCTTTGTATTGAAGAAATGCTCGGCCATTCTTTTCCATCTGAGATGGTTCTCCTTTTCCTACCCATAATTTCTGTGATTTGGCTCGGCTGGTTCTTCTGTCTCTTGGGCTCTGCTCTGGTCATATTACTGGTGCTCAGCTGTAACCTCTTCTCACTTGATCCTCTCTCCCTGACAATCCCATTGGCTCCCAGGCTTCAATAACAACCTAAACCTAATGGACCTCTCAGTTTAACCTCAGTCCCACATATCCAAGCACCTGCTGGATATCCTCAACCAGCTTGTGCTCAAATCCAGTAAATAAAGCAAGGAGCTCATTCTTTAATTCTTCCCTACCTTCCTCCCCAGTTCCAGTGTCATCAGTGTAGCTGGCTGTACAAGCCAGGGACCAGGGGCCCCCGCTAGACCCCTGCTTGCCTGCCTCTCCGCACCCATCAGTCATTAAGCCCGCCTGCTCTTCGGTCTCCACTCCCGTTGTCCTCATCCATATACTAGTGTTCTCACTGAGACTCCTGGAATGACCACTTTTACAATTATTTAATTACTCACTTACACTTTCGAAACCTGTAGTGGGTTTAATATGGCAAAGTTTTCCTCCACCCCATCTCCTTGCCACTCAATTCATCTTCTCAGAAAACCAAAGTTACTCATGTTTAAACATGTATCTTTCCAGGTGTATTTTATACAAATATGTGTAATTACATATTCTAGCCCTCTTTTTCTCCACCGAAATTGTCGCATACCATATTCAAGGTATTGTGTTTACATAATTTATCTTTGAGATCTTTCTTTTCAGTACACAGAGCTTTACTGTTCCTATTGCATCGCTGAATAGTATTCCTTTGTATGAATGCAACTATTTAGGCAAAACAGTTTCCAATCATTTGTTATTATAAACTGTTGTAACAGATAACCTTGTATTCCATTAATTTTGCCAAATAATTTACAAGATAAATTCCTGGAAGTAGCATTGCTAGATTCAAAGACAATTTTAATAGACATATGGAATTTTTGATTTTATTTGTATTAAAGTTACAAAAGCACATAGATTTAAGAATCACATAATTCTACAAAATCTCCACCAAGAATTCTTTTCTCCCTCTATTCTCTTTTTCTAATTTAAATTTATTTTTAATTGGAGGGTAACTGCCTTACAATGTTGTGGTTTCTGCCATACATCAACATGAATCAGTCATAAGTACCGCTATGTTCCCTCCCTCTTGAACTTTTCTCCCACCCTACCTACCAAGAATTCTACAAAACAAAAAAACCTAAATTCTCAGAGGCACTTCTTTCTGCCTTTTTATCCCCCCGCCCCACCCCCAGTTTAACCCCATAACTTTAAGTGAGCTGGTGCTTGGTTCCATTGACTCTCCAAGCGCGTCCTGGGTAGCTCAAATGGTAAAGAATCTGCCTGCAACGCCGAAGACGTGGGTTCGATCCCTGGGTCCCATTTCTGGGTCGGGAATCCCCTGGTAGAAGGGCATGGCAACCCACTCCAGTATTCTTGCCTGGAGAATTCCACGGGCTGAGGAGCCTAGCGGCCTACAGTCCATGGGGTCGCAGAGTCGGATGCGACTTTCACTTTCACATTGACTTTCCACTACAGAAAAGGACGATTTAGCTTTCTTTCCTACCCTGTCTTCATTAGACACTGGCATTCAGCCTGCTTGCACATCGTTCCCAAGGGGCCTCCCTAGAGCCGTTTTTTAAAGGCTCTCGGGCGACAGGTCTCAGCAAGCTTCCCTGCATCTCAGCTAGGCTGTGCAGCTCCCCGCCACGTGAAGCCACAAGGCCCCCGGAAGCTAGCCGGGCCGGGGCGTTCCCTCTCCACCCTCCACCCCTACGCCTTTCCAGCATTCAGGCCTGTACGGCTAGGCCAGGAAAGAGGCGGAACTCCCTGATCTGGAGGCAGTTTCCTCGCCGGATTGAAAAGCGGTGTGCACCGAGTGTCGCGGGAGCAGCACCTTGGTCCCCTGCTCCCGCGACATGGCCTTCAACTTTGGCACTCCGTCTGGCACTTCAGGTACCGCTGCAGCCACCGCGGCTCCCGCGGGTGAGTGACTTCCCCGGACCTTCTCCGGGCGAGGAGGGGAGGTCTTCGGTCCGGCCCTCGGTCCGAGACTCTTCGGCTTGGGGATCCTGGGGTCTCCTGCCCGCGCGGAGACTTTGGGGGCTTTGGAAAAGGGCGGGCGGCAGCCGAGGGGGCGCCAGCGGCTCCTGAGGAGGCCGCGGGAGGAATGGGGGCCCAACCCGGTGCTCGCGCGCGCGGGGCCCCGCAGGCCCTTCTCCTCCTAGGGTGCGTTTCCCGCCATCCGGGAGTCGGGCTCAGAGAGACCCGAGGCGGCTTCTGTCACCCTTTGCCAGAGACCCGTTCTCCCTCCCCTCCCCGCCGCAGCCTCCAGGACTTGCGCGAACTCTTCCCCGGTTTCCCGCTGCTGGGTTCGGCGAGGATGCGGCTGGGGAGACTGAAGCGCTGCCCTGCGCTCCCTCGGCCCTGGCCCTTTAGCTTCTCGCTGCGGGACTGCAGGCTCCTGCCCCTTCCTCCTGTCCCCGCCTCCTCCTCGGCTTTCTTAACTCAGGTTGGAGCAAAGTCAGGGTTTGTCTTTGTTCACTTCTGTGAAACCTCCTGCAGACTCTTCTAATCCTTATCTTGCTTTCTTTTTCTTCTTTTTTCTTCCCCCTCTCCCCTTTTAAAATTCTGTTTGTTTCTTTGCCTGCACGCCTATCAGGATTTGGTGGGCTTGAGACTGCCAACTCCACCGCCAGTGGGTTTAATTTTGGGGGTTTCGGATTAACTGCTAATCCTGCAGTGAACTTTAATATTGGGAATTTCGGTGTTTCTACCACCTCGGCGACTCCGTTCAATTTTGGTAACAGTCTGGCAAGTGCAGGTAGATATGCGGGTCGTCTGTGTAACGAATGTTGGGAGCTGGAGTCCAAGAATATTTTGTGGTTCCAGAGTTTGAGAAAGAACAGCGACTTGTCTAATAAGGAAAGAAAAATCATTTCCTAACGTCTAACCAAAAACATTTGTATTAAGTTTTGACTCTTAAAAGATTTGGAAGTCTTGCAAGTTATTATATAATATTCCTTTGTTAAATTTGCATTTGATTGAGTAGATTTGAGTGATTTGAAATTGGAGTGGATTTTTATTTTGAGTGGAATACGTCTTCCAAAGTATTAAATATCTCTTTTCAAAATATAAGTTCAACAGTCAGGCCCATTTTCCTGGAATTCTTGGACTCCTGCGGTCATTTTTTTTCCATTTTTCCTGCATCTTTCATTGGAATTTCATTTGATTGTCTTTGTGTTTCCTGAGAGAAACAAATCTTATACGAACAGCAGCAACCTGTCTTGTTTTTTTAATCTGTATAATAATAATAATGTCTTTCTTTAATAAACTGAGCAGATTAGGATACATTTCTGTAAGATACTGTAATTATAGTAAGAATCCCCAGTTCTTTACTGGATTTTTTGAGAAATGACCAGAGCAGTTTAATTTATCTTCAGATAGCACTGACTTCTAAAATGTAGGCTAGACATCTTTGCACTAAAAAAGATAATTATGAATATTTTGTATCTATATGGATCATTTGAAGCTCATTGAAAATTCTGCAAAACACAAACTATGTGTGTCTATACATATATATGAAAAAATTTTAAGTAGGTCTCTGTACCTAGCATACAATGACCCTATAGAAAAGTCTTGTTCTTCAGCTGCTCGTATATGAATTCATTGTTCATATTCTCTAACATATGCCACTTATGCCCATGCCAATTATATGCATTTGGTAAGCATGATTTATTCCCTAAGACCTATTTGGAAGTCTGGCATTTTGTGCAGTCACTTGTTACTGCAATGTGAATATGACCTTGGCATTTGATTTGAAAACATTTTGAAGAATACTTGAGTATTCCAAAGATTAAGCAATCTGTTATCATTAAGGTATATTTAAAGTGGTCACATATCACTGTTTTTGGTATGTTTACTTTTCCTTCTTTGCTTAAAATTGGCACTGGGTAAAACAGAAACATTATTCTGAAATTTGTGTTTCCAAACAAACCCACCCAGCTCGTAACTCAACAATAAATAAACTAGTTGGTATTTGCTTGATTTCATGTTCATTTGGAGTTGTCACTGTTAAGTTTTGAGCTGTGATAACTGTTTTAACTACTTCTACGTATCTTCATTAACTTAGTCTTCAGCAAAGGATTGGTTGAAATTCTTGTATACTTTTAAAATTTTATATCCTAGCAGATCCATTATTATTAATAAATATTTTTCATATTATGGAGCATGTTAAGATACCAGTGCTTTTATCGTATAGCCAATTTAGAGTAGTTTTTTTGTGACAGACGTAATGAAAAAGATTAGGAACAATATTTAGTACTTCAGGTGATTTTTATCAAAATGTTTGCAGTACCATAGTAGAATCTACAAGTAAATAGAGTATTTGGTTGTGCCTGGATGCAACATGTAGTCTACTCTTGAATAATTTTCCCAGTCAGATTCATGTAATGACTATCAATGGGCTGTGGGTTTTTTTCCTTTTTGTATCTCTTACATTACAATATTAATGAATCTCTGTCTCTTATGCCAGAAATATATGAGATTGAAAGTTAGAATCCCAGAAAGTCTGCAGTATAACTCAGAGGACTAATGGTTCAAACATCTGTCTTAAAAGTCTTTTTCGGCATCTCTTTGGTAATCAAAGACTGACAGTAAGGGGAGAAAAAGCAATTTTATATTGGCTAGCATTCTACTCCACTCATATGTCAAGTGCATTGGTAAAGATTAATTTTGTCTTTAGATTTATCTGAAAATGAAATTTGTGTATCTGTCAGTTCCAAAACTGTGGTGCAGGGTCTGGTGATGGCTCTGCTCTCCTTTGAGGCCACTACAGCCTTTGATTTTTTTTTTTTCCTTATCCCTTCAAGTAACATTCTTGTTGTATAAAAGTCATTATATTGGTATGTTTAATTTGAAAAGTTGCTTAGTCTTGATGGAGACTAAGTAGAAATGTAAGTTAGAATATAAATTAATTCACCAAAACCAAGGTTGCAAACTGGCAAACACAGTCTGCTGATATGTTTATCACACTGTCTTAAAAATATTTGAATTAGTTGCAAAAAGTCAGTTGAATTCAGGTGTTAAATTATGTAAATTTCACATAAAAAAATCTAAATTTTTCTATTTCTCTTGGGGAAAATGGGAACATATATAACATACTCAACTACCATTCTCCTGTAGCAGTCATCTGCTGGAATTTAGGAGCTGCTGCCATTTAAAAAACTGCCCACATTGATCAGTTCCACCAGTCAGTAAACACCTAGCCTGTTTCATTAATATTAACAGCCTGTGTCTTGTAGACATTTGTTCCTGCTCTAAAAGTACATAGTCATTTTAGTGTTTGTTACACAAACATTAACTAAATAGGCTTAACATGTTTTCTCAGCCATAACTTAATCACCTCTTTAGTTGAAAGGTATATATTGCCTTGTGGCAAATACTTACATAATTTGAAAAAGAAATTACCTCGTATGTATTCTTCATTTCTATTTTATTTATGCTTTTTTAATTAGGTGGGTTTGGAGGATTTGGGACAACGTCTACCACAGCGGGTTCTGCATTCAGCTTTTCTACTCCAGCTAACACAGGCACTACTGGTAAGAAGATATCGTATGTCATTTGTAGAAGAAAATGAGCTACAGATCAGATATCTTTTTTAACTTAAAATTGCTAATTTTTCATTCAAAGGATTCTTTGGTAGTACTCAGAACAAAGGTTTTGGATTTGGGACTGGTTTTGGCACGACAACTGGAACTAGTACTGGCTTAGGTACTGGTCTGGGGACCGGACTTGGATTTGGAGGATTTAATACGCAGCAGCAGCAACAGACTAGTAAGTACAAGAGGTTTTCATTTTCAGATATGAAACCATGACCATGTAGGTAATATCATTTAGTGCACTGTTCAAAACATTTGAGTAGATACCTTTTTTTTTTTGGAGGAGTTATAAATATCATATTCCACAGGATTCCAAAAGCTATTTCTCATGTTCAAATATAGTGATAGCAACTGGGGGAAAGACAGATTGGCATGATTATGATTATAAGACCTCTGTGTTGAATGTCATTCTTTTAAAGTTTTTGTTGTTGGTGAAAACACATGTATGTAAAGCTGCACAGAAATACAGCTTCATGAATTGTATATAAGATGAATGCCCTTGTAGCCACTGGCCCATGTCAGGAGGTGGACCGCTAACCAGCCACTTCAGAAACCCTCCACATTCTTCTCCTAGTCATTTCCCCATCAAAGGAAATAGTTTTGCCTTTTATGTTGATCACTTCCTTACTTTTCTTTATGGTTTTGTTACTCAAGTGTGTGAACAGTAGTGTTCACTTTCATTTGTCTTAAATTTCTGTAAGTCCCCCTTTTTAGTTTTCTTTTTTATTTTTCAATTTGTTGATGAAATCAGATCATTTATTCTATAGAAGTTGACAGTCAGGACTTTATGATTGCATTCCTTTTGTATAGTTAACATACCTTTGTCCTCTGTATTTCTTGTAAATTGGGTTGGATCTAAGGGGTTATTTATATTGATCACTCAGTTTTTTATTTGTTTGCAAGACTACTTTATAAATAGTGTTGTTGTTTTTTTTATCAAGAGGCATATAATATCTGATTGTCTCTATGTTTTGTGATGTTACCAGTGACCATTGGTGATGATTACCAAGGTCCATTAATTCATTATTCCAACTGTGTGCTTCCTTTTCCATTTATTTGTTGAAATAACTTCTGTAAAGAGAAACTTCTCCTCATCTACTATTTGAATAATTCTCCTTTATTCTTAGCTTTCAAAATAAAGATTTGGTTCCCTAGCCTTCTTCAGAGGTAACCTTTTTTTTAAATGTCAGGTACTGAAGTATTTAAATTATTTGATATTTTTCAGTCCATTGCTGTTTTCCATATAAATGTTTAAATTGCTTCATCTTTAGCCAGTGTAAGCCTCTTCAGGTTGGTTCCCAAGTCATGCTGGTACACAAGTGTAGAATTAGACTTTGATAGCTTCCTTACTAGCTGATGTGGCAGTATGTTCCAGGGTTATCTTGTATGTATGTATGCTTATATGCTTAGTCGCTTGGTTGTGTCCACCAGAGCCTGGTGGGCTACAGTCCATGGGGTCGCAAAGAGTTGGACACATTCCTTTCTCCAGGAAATCTTCCTGACCCAGGGATTGAACCTGGGTCTCCTGCATTGTAGGCAGATTCTTGACAACTGAGCCACCAGGGAAACCCTTTGTCTTATATGGATTAGTATATTTAATTATCACAAGAACTCTATGAAATGGAACTCTTATTACCTCCATTTTATAGATGGAGGTAACTGAGAGAATTGTGCCTTGTCCATACGTCTTCTGAGATGTACAGGAAAACAGATTCAGGTTCCTTGACTTCCTCTGTAATGCTCCTTTTGCTTTTCTGCAGTTTGCTACCTCCTAAAATTACTTCCGTTTCATTTTTCTTAGATGACTTGATTGATTGGCTAGAATTCACCTACTCAGTCATTGAAGCTTAGTAACTTATTAAACATGAATTTCAACAATTATTAACCAATAAAATGAAGAAAATAGAATTTTTCATTCTTGCGTTACAAGAAAGTAATATATCTTTCTTACTCTCCTCCTGCAACAATATGAAGTTAGATGGAAATCCAAATAGTTAAGAAAAAGAAAGGAAAAATGAAGGTTTTTCTTTCTTGACATGAAGTCTCTTCAACTATGTTACACTTAGTTTTCTTTGGAAAAATGGGAGTTTGAATCTGGTGTTGTTCATTTTCAGAATGAAAAGGATTCATTCTCCTTTAAGTGTGTGTTGTTATGTCAAGACTCTGGGTATATAACGTATATATCCTGGGTTTATAAGGTTGCTCATAATCTATAAGGAGATAGAATAGCAAAGTTTCAATTAGATTGTCTAATAAACATTCAGTTATAAAAAATAGATGTGTGAAAGCACTAAACTACACCATACACAGTGCTTTGGAATGTAGAGGAAAAGTCGAATCTTAAGGGACTTAGATGGTTGGATCAAGTCAGAAAAGGATATTCTAGGCAGAGGGACTAACACGACAAAGGCATGAATGCCCAGCACAGTGTGGTGAATTTGGGACCTGCTGTTGTAAGGAGTTTGAGTTTACTCTGCAAAGACTGTGAAGCTTTTGCGTCATTTTTAAAAACTCCTGTTTGTACGAGGCACTTGCTGTCTGATGCACCTAATCTCGGTTATCTGCTGACTTCTGGACAGGACCTCTTATTCATTGAACACTTTGGCAGTTGATTCTGAGTTTTGCTGCGTGGCTCAGTCAGTAAAGCATCTGCCTGCAGTCCAGGAGATCTGGGTTCAATTCCTGGATCGGGAAGTTCCCCTGGAGAAGGAAATGGCAACCCACCCCACTATTCTTGCCTGGAGAATCCCATGAACCGAGGAGTCTGGCAGGCTATAATTTATGGCATCGCAAGAGTTGGATACGACTTAGTGCTATCTTCTTCTGAGTTTTGCTTTTTGACTTGTGCTGTCAATCTGAGTTATTTTAGCATTCACATACCTATGTACTCAAGACAGTCATGCCGTCTACCTTTTATTCCGAAGACCTTCATTTCACTTTAGCCACAAATCTTACCTTGGACTTTTGCAACATCTGCTGCTGCTGCTGCCGCTAAGTCGCTTCAGTCGTGTCTGACTCTGTGCGACCCCATAGACGGCAGCCCACCAGGCTCCGCCATCCCTGGGATTCTCCAGGCAAGAACACTGGAGTGGGTTGCCATTTCCTTCTCCAGTGTGTGAAAGTGAAGTCGCTCAGTCGTGTCCGACTCGTAGCAACCCCATGGACTGCAGCCTCCCAGACTTCTCCATCCATGGGATTTTTCAGGCAAGAGTACTGGAGTGGCGTGCCATTGCCTTCTCTGTTGGCAACATCTGAAACTGTTCTAATTCCATAATTCACTAATGTAAACATCCCACAACCTTTGCTTTTTAAGCCTACCTTTTCAACTACTTTCAGCATAGCTGTTCTTAGAGCTTGTTTTGATTTTTAGACCACTGACACTTTCTCCACTTCAATCAGCTCCTTCACTGTTCTTTCTAACTAGCTTAAGAGTCCTTGTCCTTCCATTTCAGTCACTCTTACCAAGACGCTAAACTTCCTTATCCTTGTGTCATGTTTCCCGGAAAGAACAACCTGAAGCCTGTGTAAGCCCGGTATCTATCTAGATACCGCTTGAGAAAATCATACAGTACAGGAGATTGAATAGTACCTCCAGATTCTTAATTACCAACCCAAGTTGGGCCCTCAACATCGCTTGGCAATACTCTGAAGTTTCTATTTTCAAATTATTCTCCTGCTTTCTATAAGTTATTTTAAGCCTTTATTCTCTTCAAATCTCAAATTTCTCTGTTCTCACTGTTAACAGATGGCCTTGACCTCTACTTCAAAGAGAAAATAGAAGCCCTCATTGTAATTCCTTCAGCTGCCCATTGCCAGACCTAGTTTATCTATCTCCCTCTGTATCCATTCTTTTCTCTTTTCGCCTGTGCTTTGGATCTCATATCCTCCCACCTTCTGGGGCCGCTTGTGCTGTGGATTATTTTTCCCAGCAACCCCTTGCCCCATTCCACCTTTTACTCCCCACCAAAAAAAGTCTTCAGCTTCTGTATCCAAGGATTATTCTCATCCATATTTAAACAGTCTGCAGTTTCTTTTTTCTTTAAACAGTGAAAACAAAACAACTTTTATTTCACATCTCTCTTCGGCTATTGCTGCCTATCACTCTCTTCTCCCCTTCATAATCTACTTGGAACAGATGTAAAAGAATGGGATCCCTGCTGCTATCTTTAGTTACCTCTTAGACTACACTGTTTGGTTTCTAAATTCTTTCTTTACCCAATGAAGTGTGTGTGTAAGTTGATCAGTTGTGTCTGACTGTTTGCAACCTCCTGGACTGTAACCCACCAGGTTCCTCTGTCCATGGAACTTTTCAGGCAATAATGCTGGAGTGGGTATTATATCCCCTTCTCCAGGGGATCTTCCTGACCCAGGGATTGAACCCTGGTCTCCCAATTGCAGGCAGATTCTTTGCCATCTGAGCCATCAGGGAAGCCCAATCAGGTAATTAGGGTCATTAATCTCTCAAATCCACTGAACATCCACTGTTCTTGAACTGTGAAAAAGTCTAACATATAAAAATAGAATAGTAAAATGACCCCATAGTCTACCAAATAGATTGAACAAAAATCAGAATCTACCACATTTGCTCTCTCTCCTCCTTCCTCGTCTGTTTTTTTTTTTTTAATTGCTGAAGTACTTTAAAGCAAACCTCAAACATATCATTTCACGCTTATTTTACTGCTTTACTGTACTTTTCTCTTTAAAACCATGGAGTCATTCCAACTCACAGCTCCTTGGTATCATCTAATACCCGGCCTTAATCAGATTCCCCATATGTCTCAGTAAAGTTTTCCTCAGTTGGCTTGTTCAAATCATGATCGAAACAGAGCCACACATTTACATTCTTGTTATGTCTGCTAGTATAGAGAATTCTTTTCAGTACAGATAGTTTCTTACTTAAGGTTTCTTTTTTTTTTTTTAACCTGGCTCGTGAATTGTTGAAGAAATTGAACCAGTTGTGCTGTGAAATATCCCTTATTCTAGATTTCTTGGTTTCCTTGTAGAATCATTTAACTCTATGCCTCAAATTTCTGGTGAATGAAGTTAGCTTTTAGGTACTTTATTAGACTTAAGTTTGACTTTTTAGCATAAATACTCTGCAGGTGGTGCTGTGTGCTTCCTGTTAAGAGGCTGTCTCCTTTAAGAGATGCTAAGATTGACCAGTTGGTTCAGGTGGTGAGGCTAACCTATCATTCCCCATCATTCTTTAACCTAATGGTTTTGTTAACTGATAGCCATTGCCTCAGTCAGTTACTTTATGAGGAGTTGCAGAATGGTGACTTTCTAATTGTGCCCTGTCTTCCACACTGTAATTCTTTTACTGAAATTTTACTGGATTTTACTGAAATTCTTCTGTAAAAGGAGTTTTTCTTCATCCCTTTCCCCCCCAAGACTGCTTGGTCACCCTGAAATAGAATTTGTATAGGAAAGGCATAATAAATTCTTTCTTTTTAATTGATAGTATTTGTAAGAAGTTTTTGGTTCCTGATTATTTCCAGTGGTATCCAAGGAGTTGAGAGTTTTCTAAATTTTTGACTTTTACTTTTAAAAATTATCATTTTGAATGCATGAGATTAATAAATTGAATATGTTTGAGTTGGTTACATTCATTATTCTTTTTGATGCTGAGATTGTCACATTTTTGGCCAGTGTGAGCCCTCAGCTTCAGTGATGGTCTGGTCTTTTTTTTTCCCTCCTACCCTGTTGTTTAGTAGTCCATATTCCTTTTGCCAGCTCATCTTCCCCTCCTCTTTGACACAGAGATTTGCATGTGCTGTTATTCTTTGCTGCTGCCCCTGGCCTGGCTGACTACTTCTTTTAGACCTTAGCTGAAGAATAGCCTTCTCTTGACCCTCCTGCCCCAGTCTTGATTAGCTCCCTCATTTAGGACTCCCAGAGCCTCTACTTCTTTGAGGCACTTACCACAACTGTGAATATTTGTTTGATATGCTCAGCTTGTGTAAAGAACCAGTCTTGTTTACCACCATATCCTTAGTTTTTGCCTCTCTGTCTGGCACTTAGGAAATATTCAATAAATATCTGTTGAATGAATACATGGTGCAACAATGAATGAAAGTATGTATTAACATATATGTATGATATATAAAAGCAGGAGAGACTGTATTGTCAGGAAATCTAAGGGAGAATAGTTTTCAAGGAGGATATGTATTCCATGAAAGGTGGAAGATTTTCAATAGCTTGGGGCCCTGCCCTGAAAAGATAGAATGGTGTGAGAAGTCTAGTATGGTAAGGCTTTGAAAGAATCTATTAGATTTTGTTATTTGTGTTTCTCAAATGCCTGCTTGAGTAGACTAGTGTGTTTGGAATCCAATGTGAAGTGTAAATTAGTAAAGATGATAGTTTGCTAATCTTACTTAAAAACTGAAGATGATAAAGCATGGGAATTTTTTGTTGGAGGCTACAAAGTGAGCTTATAGTAAATCAGTATTCAAGTCTTCTGGCTTCTAGTCCACTTCTTTACCATTTTCATAAATGCCCATTTGGGAATTAATAATACTCATGTGGAGGGTAACAGCAGCCTCTCTTTAGCCGTATAGAAGCCCCATTGGCCTTGTGGTACTTACAGTCTTTAGAGCTGAAAGAAAACTTAAATGTCATCCAATATAGTGGTCCTAAAACTTAGGCCATTTTGGTATTCATAATTTTTCTTTTCTCTAATACTATCTGTATTATTGTTAAATAATTTTCTTTAAATCAATTTACTTTTAAACATTAAATGTGTTTATTTTGAAAGAAAAGTTAATACTACTGCTATAAATGGAAAACCTGTATCACTTGCTATAAAGAAACAATAATTGAACTTATGTCCACAGAAAATATAACAGTGTTAATTCTAGCTTGATACCTTTGCTTAAGCTCTTGAGTCTTAGATTTGTTCTCCCTTTTGTTAAAAAGTGAGATAAGCAGATGACATGAGATGACAATTATATATATATAATCAATTAAAAGAGAAGTTTCTGTTATATGATTTGCTGCATTTAGTGATTCAACTATTGCTTGACATCTATAGTTTCATGTACCAAGGTTATTTACTTATCTAGCACTTTGGAAATTTAACAACTCAGCCCTTCTTTAAATTTTAACACGGGATAAGTGACTTGTCCAAAGTTACAGAGCCAACTAAAGCTTTAGCTTAGGATTTGTCCATTTGTTTATTTTTTTCACTATATATTTATTTGCACTAAGAAAAGGAAATTGTTTATTAAGCTGATATTACATAACATTGATATAATATTCTTTTTGCTTATTTGGTGTCCTTCAATTTATATATATTGTATAAATATAACAGTAGTAAATGTTGTTTAAAAAATAATTCTGCAGCTTCACAGACTTTAACCTTCTTTTGGTGTGGGTCTAGTATTAATATCGTGAATCTAATTTGTGTCTAATGGAACTGGCTGCATTAAGATGATATTAGATATGCCAGTTTGACATTATAAAGATTGTCCTAGCATATTAGTTTTCTATTATTGCCGTAGCTAAGTGTCACAAGCTTTGTAACTTAGAACATAAAGTAGTATGTTAAAACATAAAGTAGCTCTGGAGATCAGAAAACCAGAAATAAGTTTCATTGAGAAAAAATCAAGGCACTGAAAAGACTGCCTTACTTCTGGAGACTCTCGGGGAGAATCCATTCCCTTGCCTTGTCCAGCTTCTGGAGTCCACATTTCTTGGCTTATAGCCCCTTTCCCCATCTTCGAAGCTAGCAGCATAGCATCTGCAAATCTCACTTTGACTCTGACCTTCCTCTTCCCTTTTAAGGACGCTTATATTATGTTGAACTCACTCTGATAATCCAGGATAGTCTCAGCTTAATTAATTGAATCATATCTGCAAAGTCTCTTGCTCTGTGCAAGGTAACATATTTACAGGTTCTGGGGATTAAGATGTGGATCTTTGGGGGCGAGGTGGCGGGGTTTATTCTGTTAACTGTATCTAGGATCTGAATTGATTGATTTAAAAAAAAACTAATTTGGGGGTAAATTTTTAGCATTAGGTGGTCTCTTCAGTCAGCCTACACAAGCTCCTGCCCAGTCCAACCAGCTGATAAATACTGCAAGTGCCCTTTCTGCTCCAACACTACTGGGAGATGAGAGAGATGCTATTTTGGCAAAATGGAATCAACTACAAGCCTTTTGGGGAACAGGAAAAGGATATTTCAACAATAACATTCCACCCGTGGAATTCACACTAGAAAATCCCTTTTGCCGGTTTAAGGTATTGATATTGCTTTTGATCATCACTTGAAGAGTGTATGAGAGAATGTGATAGTTGGATTAAAATAATACTAAGGAAACAATTGCTTGGTTTTTTTTAAGTATTCATTGAACATGGTACAGTAACACTTTTGTTTTAAAAGTACAGAAATATAAAATTGAGATAAAATTGAGTAATTTCTTACATATGTGTGATTGAGATGACTAGGATATGACTGAAGAAAAGTGTGACTAGAGAGTCATTTTTAACAGGGAAAATTGTTAAATGGTCTGCTTGGCACTTATAAAGGGGAGACCCAAAACTAGAATTTAGCTGGATGCAAAAGCCATTACAACAATATGGTCCATTTTCTTTGTTCTGATTCCATGCCTACCAAACAACTTTTTTGTTTGAGTTTAACTTCTTAGACATTCTGCTCATCAGTCAATGAGAGTATTTAGGTCCGCTTGGTGAGGTATTTTTCATAAAAAATTAACATATTCAGTTTATGTGGCAATTCAGAGGAAATTTTAATTTCACTCTCTAGGTTTATGTTGTTCCTGGGTAAGAAAGTTTCTGTTTATAATTACGTGACCTTATGGCACAAATTGGTGGAAGGAATCATTACATATTCCCATATCCTTCAAGTTTTGTTGGCCTATGTCAGCCTCTTAAACCTAATCATTGTGTGTATAAGCCGGTGTTTGGAATTACAAGGCTGAAAATTAGACCTTTGAACATGGCTAAACAACAAAAAGGGACCAACCTATCTTGTTAGAGAATCTGTCTCATCACTTTGCAAAAAGAAAGTATGTCTTTTGAGTGTATATAGTTGAAATTTTAATACTAAGAGATATATAGTAGACATAGGTTGAATATAACAATTTTTTTCTTTTATAATTGCTATATTAATATACATATGGTAAATGCATAATGAAGTAATCTAAAGTGAGTTTAGATTCTTTTTTAAAAATTGCATTATAAATGATGACAAAAGACTTCTGCCTAAAAGTAATTCTTTAGAAAGATATAGTTTGTCATATTTAATGTTATGTAAACAGCTAACCTGTTCTATACTACATGAAACCATAAAATAATGTAGACATTCTTTGTAGCATTTATAAGTTGACGGTGTTATTATGGTACTTTAAAAGTATTATTTAGTAAATCATTTCTTGATATATCTTTAAACTTTAAGATTCCATGAGTCAGATAGACAGTAAAAAGTAAGTTACATTTTGATCTATGACTTTGGCAGTCATTTTTATTGCATGCAGAATTGTTTCCACAGTGTTCAGAACACCCAACAATGGGTTTCAGTTTTTCAGAGGAGAAAGCTATTTAGTTACTCTGTAGGAGACAAAATTTTGATTTCTCTATGTTATTCTTGGGTAAGAAAGTTTCTCTTTGTAATCTTGTGACCTCTTAGGGCACAGAGTGGCGGAAAGAATCATTACATAGTTCCTTCATTACTAGACATTAAGCTATTTTTCCCATTTTAGCAGATAGTAAGCTGTTAATATTAAACACTTGATTTGAGATCTGTACATGTTTTTGATATTGTTTTGTCATTCCACAGGCTGTAGGTTATAGTTGCATGCCCAATAATAAAGATGAAGATGGGCTAGTGGTTTTAGTTTTCAACAAAAAAGAAACAGATATTCGAAGCCAACAGCAGCAATTGGTAGAATCATTGCATAAAGTTTTGGGAGGAAACCAGACCCTTACTGTAAATGTAGAGGGTATTAAAACATTGCCAGATGATCAGTAAGTATACATTAAATGTACTCTATGTTTCTGTGTACCTTGGTTTGCAGAGAGTGTCAACACAACAAAAACAGTTTTTGTTGTTAAAGCACAAATTAAATCTCAAAACAGAATGTTATTTCTCAGCTAGTGATTCTTCAGTATTTATAAAAACATTTATTTAAAAGTCTTTTTCTTAATCTTGGGTTTCTTAACTTATTAGATGCTAATAATTTCTTAGATTTTTCATTTAGAAACAGGAGGAAACATTAATCGTGGCTGTGCAAATCAGGGGCCACAAAGATGTTATTGCAATGTTTTAACTGATTACTGTTCATGTTCATTCATGGATAAATACTATTAACTTCCCTTGTCCTGTGTATAATTGTCATATTTAGTGGCAAGACATTTGCTTTAGAACATTTTGGGTTAGAAGAATTATTAGTGAGATATAGTAACTGAAATCAGATTTTACTTTTTGTTCTATAAACTGCAATGAAGCAACCTGTTAAGGTTCAGCAGAATCTCCAAAGTACTTCTTGATTTTGGTGGGGAAAAAAAATTAAAATAGGACTTGCACCTAAGCATACCTTTATAGATAATATCTTATTTGTCTGTCTCATTTCTGAATTCAGCTAGCACCCTTCTAAAATCACATACTGTGTTAATATTTGTGACTGTGAGTTATATGCTCTGTATTTTATAACTTGGTTATATTTCCCCCAGGACAGAAGTTGTCATTTATGTTGTTGAGCGTTCTCCAAATGGTACTTCAAGAAGAGTTCCAGCTACAACACTATATGCCCATTTTGAACAAACCAATATTAAAACACAATTGCAGCAACTTGGTGTAACCCTTTCTATGACTAGAACAGAGCTTTCTCCTGCACAGATCAAACAGCTTTTACAGAATCCTCCTGCTGGTATGTCTCCAGAGTCATGGAGTTGAGGAAATGAAAAGTTTGTAAATTCATGCCTTCTCTATTTTGTTGCTTGGTTATTAATGAAACCAGTGTCAGCCTATCACATTTGCTTATTTGGAACACAGGTTTGAATGTTCTTATTGTACTTCTTCATTTATTTAATTTTTTTATATTGTATAGCTAATTATGTTTGTTATAAATTTTGTTGGGCAATGATGAACTAAAGAAAAATAGCCCATAATCCATCTACCCAAAGATAATTCAGTCTTAATATTTTATTTTTGTCTAGCTTATCTCTTACTTTAACTGAGTATTCAAGTAAAACCTGATTGTGTTCTCACCGTAAAAGATTCCAGATGGCGTATCTCAGTTGACTGAGTGACATATCTTTACCTCTCTTCCACAGAAGTAACTACTACTAATAATTTATTGAACTTTATCAATCCTTTATCTGTGATTTTAATGTAAGCATTTCTGTCTATAATAAAGTCCTTGAAGAAGGAATTCTGAACTACACATTTACTACAGCCTGCCTTTTTGTTTAGAGTATTCTTTAATGCTTTCCATGGCAGTACATAAAGATAAATCTTACTCTTTTTAAAAAACTGCGTGGAATACCATGGATATACCTTACTGTATTTAACCTCTAGGCTGTTTCTACCTTTGCACTATTATGAACTATGTAACAGTTAATCTCCTTGTATAGTTGTCTTAAAACACACAGGAATGTATTTTTTTTTAGAATAGATCCCCAGTAGTGAAATTTTCAAGTCAAGATTATGTCTACAGTCAGCCCTCTGTATCCGGGGGCTCCCATCTGCAGGTTCCACATCTGCACCTTCAACTAACCACAGGTCCAAAACAGGAAATAAATTTTAGGAAGTTCCAAAAAACAAAACCTGAATTGCTGCACCTTGGCAGCTATTTTCATAGCATTTCATTGTATTAGGTATTATAAGTAACCCACAAGTGATTTAAAGTGTATGGTAGGATGGGTGTAGGTTATATGCAAATATTATTAATACTATACCCTTTCTTACAAGGGACTTGAGCATCCCCAGGGAGTGGGGTGGGTCCTGAACCCCACCCTCTGCAGATACCAGAGGGTCGGCAGTACTTCTACGTATTGTTGTTAGGTACTGCCAAATTGCCCTCCAGAGCAAGTTCAGCCCTTTACATTCATAATAGGAATGTGTTACTTTTTCTCACATTTTTTACTTTTCTGATGTTTTCTCATTCTGCTCTATTTTTGCCAATAATGGAGATAATCAGTCTTTTAAATTTTTCCACTCTGTTGGCAAAAAGTTAATACTTAATTTCATTTGCATTTCCTATTACTAAAGTTGACCAGCTTTTTGTATACTAGCCACATTTATAATATTTGTGAATTACCTATTCATGTTCTTTGCCCATTTTCTATTAAATTTTTTGTCTTTGTGATTTAGAGGAGCTCTTCCTATATTCTGGAGATTAATCTATTATCCTATTATAGATACTTGCTTTTGATGTACTTTTTTTTTTTTTAAGCTTTATCCTACAAAACAATTTTTTGTTCTTGTTATGGTCATATTTGACAATCATTTTTCATTAGAGATTTTAGGTTTTGTGTCTCACTTTAGGAGGGCCTTTCATATAAATTTTATAAAAATGGGAAATAGTTCCTTTTATTTATTTATTTATTTTTCCATTTATTTTTATTAGTTGGAGGCTAATTACTTTACAACATTGCAGTGGTTTTTGTCATACATTGAAATGAATTAGCCATGGGTTTACATGTATTCCCCATCCCGGTCCCCCCCCTCCCACCTCCCTCTCCGCCCTATCCCTCTGGGTCTTCCCAGTGCACCAGGCCCGAGCACTTGTCTCATGTATCCAACCTGGGCTGGTGATCTGTTTCACCCTAGATATACATGTTCGATAACCCTATATGCAAAAAAAGAAAAAGAGACTCAGATGTATAGAACAGACTTGTGGACTCTGTGGGAGAAGGCGAGGGTGGGATGTTTCAAATAGTTCCTTTTAGAAAAAACATTTCTTTTTTATGGTAGGTGTTGATCCTATTATCTGGGAACAAGCCAAGGTGGATAACCCTGATTCTGAAAAGTAAGTGTATCTTCATCTTGTTTTTATATACAAACTAATATTTACTACCAGGGAAGCAGATGCAAGCTGTTAACTATAATTCTAACATTTAAAGTGAGTTTATCTTCATTTTCATCCCTTTTTAAAGAATGTTGATTATAATCAGGCTGCATCATGTGGTGAAAAGATTAAAATCTGAGTCACAGTGCCCTAATTAGATATTTGCATTTAATACTGCAGTTTTTGACCACACTGTATTTCCTCACTCATAAATTTAGGTTGGATGAAATCTCTGTGGTGTAACACTTGATTTCATAGTCATAGATCTGCCTTTTAACCCTAGAAATGTGAATTACAGCAATGTTACTATGAAAACCTTACCTTGTATTTTGTAATAATATAGGCTTTGATCTGAAAATTGACCATTTGTGTTTCTTCAGGTTAATTCCTGTACCAATGGTGGGTTTCAAAGAACTTCTTCGAAGACTGAAGGTTCAAGATCAGATGACTAAGCAGCATCAGACCAGATTAGATGTAAGAATCTAGCTTCGTTCTCAGGCCCTGCGAGTAGTAGAGTGGTTACAGACCTTTGTTCTTACCATGCGTTTCAGTTACTGTTTTGTCTTACGAGAAACAATGCAGTGTATACTGCAAATTAACAACTATACTTTTATACAACCTATTTATTTATAGAGCCTCCAAAAATCATGTAAATCTGATTTAACAATGAGTTTAGAATTGTTGACTTTAGCAAATAAATTAGACTTATGGGTTCTCTGGCTGGAATTGAAAAGATTATTTTATTAAACACTTATTTATGGGGCCTTATGAAAATGAGGGCTACAATTATGATTGTGTTGCCATAGTGCATTATAATGGTAGGTTAATGAAGCAAATTTTAAGTTACTAAATGCTTAAATCTTAACATTTTATAAAGTAGACTTTTGTAATCAAATGCCTAAAGGTTCTAGAGGTCACCTCCAAGTCCTCTTAAGTGGAACTCCTAATTAGATATTCATTCAGACTCTATTTGAGTAATGAAACACTTCTGTTTTTTGAAGCAACCTATTTCTTTGTCAGCTCACTCTGATTGATGCTGGTCTCTTTCTTACATTGACTCAAAATCTGTCTTATTATAATTTATATCCATTTTCTCAGGCATGCTTTGTAGGTAACCACTATGTTCCTGTAACATCCCTATAGATATTTGAAAATCATGATCATTTTTTCTTCTTAGTATTTTCTCTGGCTAAAAATTCCAACATGGTTTTTGAATGTTACATGTTCCCCAGGCCTTATCTTAGACTAGGTACACTGAATTTATTGGCATCACTTTTTTTTTTTCATTTATTTTTATTAGTTGGAGGCTAATTACTTCACAACATTGCAGTGGGTTTTGTCATACATTGACATGAATCAGCCATGGAGTTAACATGTATTCCCCATCCCGATCCCCCCTCCCACCTCCCTCTCCACCCGATTCCTCTGGGTCTTCCCAGTGCACCAGGCCTGAGCACTTGTCTCATGCATCCCACCTGGGCTGGTGATCTGTTTCACCCTTGATAATATACATGTTTTGATGCTGTTCTCTTGAAACATCCCACCCTCGCCTTCCCCCACAGAGTCCAAAAGTCTGTTCTGTACATCTGTGTCTCTTTTTCTGTTTTGCATGTAGGGTTATCATTACCATCTTTCTAAATTCCATATATATGTGTTAGTATGCTATAATGTTCTTTATCTTTCTGGCTTACTTCACTCTGTATAATGGGCTCCAGTTTCATCCATTTCATTAGAACTGATTCAAATGAATTCTTTTTAACGGCTGAGTAATATTCCATGGTGTATATGTAACACAGCTGCCTTATCCATTCATCTGCTGTGGCATCACTTTTAAAATGAGTTGTGCATAGTACTATAAATGGGGTGTGACCAAAGTTCTTGAAAGTAGGGACAAAGATGCTATTATTTGTGCTTATTTTTGTCAGTTTTGCTAGAAGTTTGTCAATTTTATTGATCTTTTCAAAGAACAAGTTCTTGGTTTTATTTTTTTTTCCTAGTTTTGTTTACAGTTTCATAAATTTTGGCTCTTAACCATTTCCTTTATTCTACTGCTTTGGGTTTATTTTTCTCTTTTTCTAGTTTCTTAAGTTAGCTTAGGGTATTGAGACTTCTAATAAAGACATTTGATGCTATTAATTTTCTTCTAAGTACTGCTTTACCTGAGTTCCCCAAATTTTGATAATGTTGTATTTGTCATCTTTGATTCATTAAAAAAATTTTTTTAAATTTAATTTGTCTGTGTTGGGCCCCAGTTGTGGCACACAGGATCTTCCATCTTCCTTGAGGCATGTGTGATCTTTAGTTGTGGCATGTGAACTCTTAGTTGCATCATGTGGGACCTAGTTCCCTGACCAGGAATCGAACCCAGGCCTCCTGCATGGGGAGCTCGGAGTCTTAACCGCTGGACCACCAGGGAGGTGCCATTGAAAATATTTTTTTATTTCCCTTGATGGTTCTATTTGAGTATTGTGGGTTTTGACTAATAGATTATTTAGAAGTATGTTTCATTTTCAAATGTTTGGAGATTTTCCTTTTATCCTGTTGTTATCTAGTCTAACTCTGTTATGGTCAGAGAACTTTGTATGATTTCAGGTAACTTTGTAAAGGGTTTAACCCATAGGCCTATGAAAAGAATGTGTGTTCTGCCATTCTAGGGGTCTTCTGTTGGTGTCAGTGAGATCCATTTGATAGATTGCTCAGTTCTTCTAAGTTCTTGTAGATTTTTCTAATCATGTTTTTTTAAACTAAGTTACTTTTGGTTGTGCTGTCTTCACTGCCACATGGGCTTCTCCAGTTGCAGAGGGCGAGGGCTGCTCTCTAGCTTTGCGGCATGTGGCCTTCTTCTGGCAGTGCCTTCTCTTGCGGTGCACAGGCTCCAGCAGCTGCGGCCCCTGGGCTCTCAAGCACAGGCTTAACAGCTGTGGGGCACAGGCTTGGTTGCTCCGTGGAATGTGGGATCCTTTCAGATCAGGGATTAAACCCATATCTCTTGCATTGGCAAGTGGATTCTTAACCACTGAACCACCAGGGAAGCCCTACAAGTTCTATTTTACGAGGAGAGTTGGTCTCCAGCTGTAGTTGTAGATTTGTCTTTTTTCCTTTCACATATTTTAGAAGGTTTGTTGTTAGGTACATATGTATCTAGGATTGTTATATTTTCTTGGCATATACCATAATGTTGTTCTTTATGCTTAGCAATTATCTTTGCTTGGAAGTAAGCTTTCTCTGATATCAAATAAAGCCACTCTAGCTTTCTTTTGATTAGTGATTTTGTATCTTTTCCATCCTTTTAACTTACCTTTATCATGTTTGAAGTAAGTTTTTTGTGGATAGCATAAAATTTAGATTTAGGCCTACAATCTTACTGTTAACTGTTCGCTCTGCTTTTCTTTCCTCTCTTTCCTCTTTTTTGTTTTCTTCTGGGTTATTTGGACATTTTTTAATATTGTTTTTAATTTACTGTCATTTCACCTATCATTTGTTTTAGTGATTGGTTGAGTGTAGATCTCACTGGGGTGTGTGGTGATGATTTTGTCCCCCAGGACCCATTGGGCAGTATCTGGAGACTTGTTTGGTTGGTACAGCTGCCCTAGGGTGGTGGCTGTGGTGGTGGTGGGTGCTACAGTTATCTAGCAGGTAGAAACCAGGATTCTGATCAGCATCCTGCAGTGTACAACAGTACCACTGCAATGAAGAATTATCTGGCCCAAATTAATAGTATTAAAAGTGAGAAACTCTTCTCTCTATACCATAATGTATCTTCTTGCACCAGAGGTAATAGGTTTTTCTTGGAGTTATCAGCATGATGCCCACTTCTAGGTTTTGGGCTGTGCTGAAACCAAACTGACTGCAAAATAATGGTAAACTCACTGCTAGTTCAGTGGTACTTCACATTCAGAGTCCTCAGATGGTTGCCCATGTATCCTGTTCATTTTACATCTGTCTTCAGCAGGAAAGAGAGAGCGGCACGTATCTAGTCATTTGGTCTAGAATCAAGATTGTTCATATCATTTGCCAGTTTTTCTGATGGATTGCGTATCTTTTCTTTTTGAATTTCAGGAGTTCATCTTTTATTCCAGATTTTAATCCGTCATCTGACATTTTAAAAATCTCCTACTTGTCTTATTTCTCTGCTGATTCTGTAGTGTCCATAGTTGAAGACTTTTATTTTGTTGTTGTTTACAGTGCTGTGTTAATTTCTCCTGTACAGCAAAGTGATTTTTTATATATATTTATATATATGTACTTTTTCATATTCTTTTCCATTTTGGTATAAAACAGGATATTAAATACAGTTCCCTGTGCCATAAGTAGGGTCTTATTGTTTAAGAAAATCTTAACGTAATGATAGCCATTGTTTTTTTGGCCTTGTGTCTTCTTTTGGGGGAATTATCTTAAGAAATCATTCCTCATCCAAGGTCTTTAGAGTCTACAGTTTTTTTTCTATTATAGAATTTAACCTTTCACAGTTCAGTCTTCTTTCCTCATGGAATTCACTTTATATATACTATATGATATGAACTTTCTCTAGATAATAGCTTTTTTCTAGTGTTATCCACAAAAAAGATACTTTCCTCAATGATTTATCATTTACCAAACCAAGTTCCCATATATATGTGATATAGTCTGTTCTTAAATCAGTTTCACTTTTTTTTTACTCTTATAGCTTTGCAGTATATTTTAAAGATATGTGGTGGACTGAATCTCCAGCCTTTGTTCTTTTCACACTTTTAAAGCTCTTTATGGATCTTCATTCTTCTGCGACAGTTTTAGAATTGAGTTTGTCAAAATGCTAGAATTTTAGTTAGAATTGCATTAAATATATAATTGAGTCTTAATAATATTAAATTATTCCATCATGAACATGTTCCTTTTCTCATTGAAGTCTCTTGTGTGTTTTGTAATAGTTTTAAAATAAATTTTAAAAATTGTAGGCATTTTTTCCTGGTTAATTTCTAGATTGTTTTAGTGTTTGTCAATAAATACTGTGAGTGAGAACATTTCTATTTTTTCTTACTATTGCTGCTATAGAATAATAATTACTCTTATTGTCTAGAAGCCCTGCAAACTTTTCAAAATTGGGATAGAGAGGGTTACATACCCTGCCTGGGTAACATAATAGAAAATTTGGTCACCTGATTGTGTCCCTTCAACATGGCCTGGCATTGAAGTTTCTTTAAAAGGTGACATGTGTAGGTAAACATGCTAAAATATGTCTTGTACAATCTTCTTACCCTCTTACTTAGAACATCTCAATATAGGCCAGTGTCACAGAATGATTAATTATGATAGGAACAGTCATAACGGGGTTAGTTTTGATCGGGAAGCTTTAATGAACTACGATTTTAACTCATTCTGTAAGGTTAATAAGACTTTCATAAGGTAGAACAGTAGAATTTTAGGCCAAGCAAAGAACAAATTAAATATCTGCAGACATAAAAATGTCTCATTTGTGTAATTAATATTCTTCCTTTCTCCCGCCACTCTGAGCATATCTCTCCATAGCATTCTGTTAAACTTACTATTGGACTGTAGGGCTTCCCTGGGGGCTTAGACGGTAAAGAACCCACCTGCAATGCAGGAGACTTGGGTTCAATCCCTGGGTTGGGAAGATGCCCTGGAGGAGGGCATGGCAACCCACTCCAGTACTCTTGCCTGGAGAATCCCCATGGACAGAGGTGCCTGGCGGGCTACAGTCCATAGTGTTGCAAACAGTTGGACACGACTGAGCGACTAAGCACAGTGTATTCTATATTTTCTTCAAGTAGTTAGATTTAATTGTCTCTTCAGGCTCCTGCATGTCACTTTATAGGTCTTAGCTTTTATACTTTCATGGCCTGGTCGTTGGCTCTGTTCCATAATATTCAAATTCCTTATTTACTTCTGAAGAATATGTTTTATTATTCTATACATTTTGCCTCATCACTAAAGTTCCTGGAGCTCTAAAGAAATTTTTGAATGGTACATTTTAACTTTTAGATGTACAAAAGTGGAAGAAATACAAAAGTAGATTTAAAGGAGTTTATATTTTGAGAGATGAATCTCAGGCTCATCTTTTTTTTGCATGTAGTGAACTTAATAAATAGTTGTGATACTTTACCTTAAAAAAATTGTTTTAAACAGATAATATCTGAAGATATTGGTGAATTACAGAAGAATCAAACTACAACCATGGCCAAAATTGCACAATACAAGAGGAAACTTATGGACCTTTCCCACAGAACTTTACAGGTAGTGATTTCAACGTTTATAAGACTATCTACATGATGGAAGTGCTAAATATGGATTTTTGCAATGGGGAAAAAAAAGACTAAAAGGAAATAGTAATAGTCTTGAAAGTACCAAGCTTTCTCATTAAAGCTTAGAACTCTGAGGTGAGATCTCTGGAGAGGATTGGGTAAAGAAAGTGAAAATATTCTAAAATTTGTATTTTATTGAGAGGGTAGGAGGAAAGCAGTGAGAAAATGAATCATCTTTATGATGTAGCAGAAGTATGCATCAGATCATTAATATCTAGTTTTCATAAAAATAGAAAAATACAGATTTTGAGTGCTAGAAAAGGGAGTATAACCATTAATGAATGAAAAGCAACAAATGAAATTGCAAATTAACAAGGAAATAAAAGAATGAATACCAACTTGAAATTATCATGCAATTGAAATTAAACAAAAAACTTCATTTTTTAAAGATACAAGATGCAAAAATTAGAGAACTTAGTACTCAAGTTAGAAAAATATTATCAAGATAAGCCAAAAGGAACCAATAAGAGGGAAATAAAGATGATGTGGAATGAGTGAAGCAGAAAAAAATTAATCATAGTAGAAAGAATAAGTTGAAGAGCTGTTTCTTTAAAAAGACCATTAAAATGGCTAAATATGAATCTGAAGAAGGAAAAAAAGACTCATCTTATGAGCCTAAAGACAGAAAAGAAAAATTAGAAGAAAGGAGATAATACCACATACATACACAAGAGAATAAGAAAATACTACAGTGGAATTCAGGGCAATAAATTTAGATGTTAGATGATTTTCTAGCAAAATGGAAATTATTAAAATTGACTTACAGAAAAAAAAAAATCTTAAATAGACAAACACCATAGAAGTAATTGGGAAAGTTTTAAAGATCCAACAGCAGAAAAAGCACAAAGGTTAAATAGATTCATTTTTCTAACTATTAATGAGCTAATTCTAAAGTTATTTTATTTCAGACAAAAAGAAAAATATAGCTGGTGTGTTTTTTTTAACAGTTTGAGATATAATTCATATACCATACAATTCACCTATTTAATTGATTTTTATTATATTCACAACTTTGTACAACCATCACCACAATCAGTTTTGGAACATTTGCATCACTCTAAATTAAAAAAAAAAAAAAATGCCATACCCATAAGCAGCAACTCCCCATTTCCTCCTAAATCCCCTAGCCATAGGCAACAACTTTGCATTTCTGTGGATTTGCCTATTTTTGAACACTTCTTGAAAATGAAATCATAAAATATGTGGTATTTTTTGACTGGCTATCTCAGCATATTTTCAGTGTTCATTCATGTTGTAGCATGTAACAGCACTTCCTTTTTATTGCTGAATAATATTTCATTGTATGATTAACAGATTTTATGTCTTCATCAATCAGTGAACATTTTGGTTGTTTCCACTTTTTGGCTATTCTTAATAATGTTACTATTAACCCTTGTGTACAAGTGTTTGTGTGGATATATGCTTTTGTTTCTGTTGGGATACCTAAACCTAGGATAGCAATTACTTGGTAATGTGTACCTCTGTGTTCCACATTTTGAATAACCAAATTATTTTTCCAGAGCAGCTGTAGCATTTTACATCAGTTTTTAGTACCCCAAAATAAAAATGTATAAAGATAATTCTAATAGAGGTGCAGATTGTGCTAAGTAAAACAAACCAGACTGAAAAAGGCTATATATGATATAATTCCATTTATATATCATGCAAAAGGCACAGCAAGAGGTATGTAATAGATCAGTAGTTGCTAGGAGCAGGAGGTAAGGGAGAGGAGATTATAAGGAGCAGGAGGGAACTTTATGGGTGATAGAAATGTTCTTTATCTTGATTGTGGTGATGGTAACCTGTGTTCATCCAAATACATAGAGCTGTACTCCTAGAAAGAGTGAATTTTATGTGGATTATACCTCAGTAAATCTGACCATAGAAAACAAGTGCAGCAAATCTAAGTGAAATATAAGAGAATCCAGCTATTATCAAATTCTAAAGGAATATAATTCTTTTCTTAAAGGAAAATACTTTGACTAAGGTTAATTTCAGGAATGGAAAGTTGGTTCTTTAACAGGATCTATGAACATAATTTATCCTAGCAACACATGGAAGGAAAATATGTAAGTTTTTGTAACTAAGCAGGGTAATTAAACTAGTATAAAACAATAAAAAGAGATTATCTCTTTGCTGATATGACTGTGTATCTAGAAAACCCAAGGAAATAAACAATAGAATTAATGTGGTAAGATGGCTAAATACAAGGTTTTTAGTGTTTATACTAAATCAGTGTTAGTGTTTTAAAATCAGTGTTTCTTTATACTATTAATGGAAATAAGAGTATTCCATTCATTATCATGAAAAAACTATAAAATACTTAGGAATAAATTTGTGAGGAAAGTATACAATCTGAATTAAAGTTTTCACAGATAAGCCATATTCTTAGATGAGAAAACAATATCTACTTTATAAATTTTAAAAGTGAATTACAGCTTTAAAAAAATTGAAATCTTTCAGTACATAAGTAAGGATAACATTTGAGAACAGATTCAGGAAAACAAAAAAGAAATAGTGTAGGGGACTTGCTTTATCAAATTTTAGAAAAAACTATCAAATTTTAAGTTCTTCTAATCAAATTAGCATGGGCTTGGTGTAAGATTGGACATGAAGATCCACAGAACAAAAGAAAGAATCCAGAAATAGATGTACATTTTATCTTAATATGAAAAAGATATTTCAATTCAGTGGGTTAATAAATAATGCTAAGAGTAATTGTCTATCCATCTGGAAAATTTGACCACTGTATCACACCATATACCAATTAGCTCCAGGTTCTTCTGTCCACGGGGATTCTCCAGGCAAGAATACTGGAGTGGATTGCTACTCCATCCTCTAGGGAATCCTCCCAACCCAGGGATCAAACCCAGGTCTCCCACATTGCAGGCAGATTCTTTACCATCTGAGCCACCAGGGAAAGCCCATGTACAAAAACAAGGGTATTAAAGACTTAACTCTTAAGAAATTTATGAAGCTACATGAACCACCTAGGGATTGAAGAGATGTGTAGCAAGAAAACCAGAAACTGTAAAACAAAGTTGGCTAGCAAAAATTTTGTATGGCAAAAGAAAACAGAAGCCATTTGTCAGTAGTCGTGATTTTAGAAAAAGAAAATTGTGAATTTGCAAACAGCACTGATTTTAGTGTTAATATTTGTATCTTACAAAGAGGTGCTACATTTTGACCCCCAAGACCCCAGTTGAAATACAGGCAAAGAATGTGTAAAGGCAATTCACAGAAGGGCAGCTGCAGAGTAGTTCTTAACTGGTGGAAGATGGTCCTTCAGCATTCAAGGTGGGGGTGTAAATCCCCTGCTGGTCCAGTGGTTAAAGCTCCCCACTTCCACTGCAGGGAGTCTGGGTTCAATCCCTGGTCAAGGAACTAAGATCCTAACTGATCCCAGAAGCCAAGTGTACAAGAAAGAAAAAACAATCAAGGGGATGCAGATTTTAAAAAAGAAAAATTGTGTGATGCTTTAGTACTCATCAGATTGGAAGAAATTTAAACGTCATTACCTATTGCTGACAGAAATGTGTGGAAAAGGGTAATCTTGTGTGTTTTATGAATATATAAGTTGCTAGGATATCTGGCAAAGCAATTTAGCAGCTTCTGAAGACTGAACACACCTACCTTTAAACCCAGCAATCTTGAATTCATGGCAGTCTATACCAGTAAATAAAGATGTAAAACATACATATATATGTGTGTGTGTGTATATATACACAAAACTGATTATAGCATTGTTCAGAGTGTCCAAACTAGAAACAATATATCCCCCTCAATATAAGAATACTTAAGTAAATTATTGGCTAATTATGAAAATTATGTAGTCATTAAAAGTAAATTCATGTTATTTGCCTAATAAGAGTGGGCTACATAATTCAAATCTTGAACTGTTATGATTCTAACTATTGTTAGTGTATTTAGCTAATTTCTTTCAACTGCTAATGTGTAATAAAATTACCTGCATAACTGAAGAGAGGTAATTCTATTGTTCTTGTTGGGCTTTTCTTTGTGTAGGTCCTAATCAAACAGGAAATTCAGAGGAAGAGTGGGTATGCCATCCAAGCTGATGAAGAGCAGTTGCGAGTTCAGCTAGATACAATTCAGGGTGAACTAAATGCCCCTACTCAGTTTAAGGTAAGACCATAAAGCTAGAATTTGTTTCAGGTGCCTCAGCAGAGAAGTGTTACTTGGTCTTCAGAAAGACCAAGTACGTGTTCTTTATTAAATACATACGTGTTTTTTTTTTTTTAATTAAAACTTCCTTTCTAAAGTAGACTCTTAAATCATGATATTCTGGGCTTATATTAATTGTACGATTGTATTAATGTTTCAAATAAGGTACAAAAGGAGAATTAAAACACCTTTAATTAGAGTACTATCCATCCTTTTAAAACAATCTCTTAGAAACGGTTGCTGTTGTGAGCAGTTATAATTCAACTCAGTATTATTTTTAAGGGCCGACTAAATGAACTGATGTCCCAAATCAGGATGCAGAATCACTTTGGAGCAGTCAAATCTGAAGAAAGATATTACATAGATGCGGATCTGTTACGAGAAATCAAGCAGGTAAGTTTTCCACTAGAGTGGACTCTTTAAAAGGTGAATTCATATCCATAAGGATGGCTATTATCCAAAACAAAACACCCTCCAGAAAGTCACACATTTAGAGGATGTGAAGAAAATGGCACTGTCGTGCATGCTAGTGGCAATGTACAGTGATACAAGCAAGCGCTGTGAAAAGTGCTTCCTTAAAATATAAACACAGAATTACAATACAGTCCCACAGTTCTCCTTCTGGGTATGCACCTGTAAGAATTGAATGTAGTCACTCAAATATTTGCATGCCCATGTTCATAGAAGCATTATTCACAGTAGCCAAAGTGGAAGCAATCCAGGTGTCCACAGATGGGTAAGTAGACAAATATGGTTATATGTACACAATGGAATATAAACCTTAAAATGGCAGGCAGTTTATACACACACACATACACATCATGGATGAACTTTGAAGACATTATGTGAAGTAAGCCAGTTATTTGAAAGGACAGAAGTTGTATGATTCCATTTATTTGGTGTACCCAAGAGTAGACTGGTAGTTGCTGAGGGGAGGGTTACTGATCCCATCAGCTTTCAGGGGACCTGGGTGGAGGCTGCAGGAGCCAAGACCTCAGAGCACTTGTCTAAGGCTCACTTCTATGAAAACATTAGGAAGTACTACTCTGGCTTACTTTCACGAGTATAAATACAGATTGGTTTAATGAAAACTGTCCATCCATCCAGCAACCATCTAAAAAAATATATTAAGATGGCAAACTTTGTGGAACATATTAGATAGGACTAATTGGCATGGCCTGAGGATTTTAGGTAATTATAAATGTCGTTATTTATCTAATTTTATTATATGCATTAGAATGAATATTGCTCTTTTATGCAACTAAAAACTAGTTTGTCTCCTGGGTTCTCAAAAAGTATCAGATCAGTTCAGTCACTCCGTTGTGTCTGATTCTTTGCGACCCCATGAACTGCAGCATGCCAGGCCTCCCTGTCCATCAACAACTCCCGGAGTTCACCCAAACTCATGTCTGTTGAGTCAGTGATGCCATCCAACCATCTCATCCTCTGTTGTCCCCTTCTCCTCCTGCCTTCAGTCTTTCCCAACATCAGGGTCTTTTCAGATGAGTCAGCTCTTCACATCAGGTGGCCAAAGTATTGGAGTTTCAGCTTCAACATCAGTCTTTCCAATGAACACTCAGGACTGATCTCCTTTAGCATGGACTGGTTGGATCTCCTTGTCCAAGGGACTCTCAAGAGTCTTCTCCAACACCCCAGTTCAAAAGCATCAATTCTTTGGCGCTCAGCTTTCTTTATAGTCCAACTCTCACATCCACACATGACCACTAGGAAAACCATAGCTTTGACTAGACGGACCTTTGTTGGCAACGTAATGTCTCTCCTTTTTAATATGCTGTCTAGGTTGGTCATAACTTTCCTTCCAAGGAGTAAGCGTCTTTTAATTTATACATATACCTGATTATATTCATATTTATAATTAACTGAGAACAATTCCAACATATCAGAATAACTATGAGTTTATGTATGCAATAAAATTGGGAATAATATAAACACCTGAAATGTTAGCAATAGTAGTTACCACCATTATCATCAGTTTGTACTTTAAAATATGGAAATCCTCAGTTTTCAGAATGATTATTTTGTTAATCTATATTTGAGTACCTTCTTGAATTGTTTTAATATAACTAGTTTTTTATCAAAGGTTGATAAAAGGAATCTTTAAAATCTGCATCTTTTGTAAAATTGGCTATATTACATATTTGATTTTGCTTTTCACAGTATTTAACTGTATTTAAAAGTGTTAGCAAAAGATACAGTACAGATTTTTAAAACATGCATATGAGAGCGACTGAGTCCTGTGTTGCTAGTAAAATAATGAAAAATAGCCTTTTTCCTGTAAGTAGCTTGCAGTTTAATAGAGAAATACATTGATATTTTTTTGATTCCTTCTAGCATTTGAAACAACAACAGGAAGGCCTTAGCCACTTGATTAGCATCATAAAAGATGACTTAGAAGATATCAAGTTGGTAGAACACGGACTGAATGAAACCATCCATATCAGAGGTGGTGTCTTCAGTTGACAGCTCACAAACTTGTGTTAAAAGTTTGTGAAATACATCTTCCTGTTACATCAGGCCTTCTTTAAAAATGAAACTGACCACATGGAGGGGTAAAAAAACAATCCTCTCTCCTGACTTGGATTTTGAGAAGGTTACTGAAAATTATTCATCCAATCTGAAATAACAGTCACTTCACTGCTCTTCAGAGACAGTCTTTGAAAGATTTATATCTAAAAGCTGTAATTACTTTAAAAGAGAAATACATAATTACCAAAAATATTTACTATTGTACATTTTTACAACAGCATTGTTCTTAAAAATAATCAGTGTTTAATGATTATTCTCCATTGAGCCTGTACTCTGCTTTCCATAGCAAGTAAATATGAAATGTCTACTTTGCACATAACAAAATAAACTGTATAATTACTTGGCTGCTGGAGATTTGTACTTCAGAATGTAAATGTCAGTTTTTCTATTTGTGAATTCATCTGTGGGAGGAGTAAAGGAAATCCAAGAGTATTTAATGATTAATGTGGTTTTCTTTTCATTCTATAAAGATTTGAAGATATATTTTTATACTATTTTACTTATTTGGAATTTACAGAACACACGTAAGCAATTAGCATATAACAGAAGAATTACATTTTATCATTTTTGCACCTTTTTTTGTTTTTTAAACCTCTTTATTTCTAAAAAATATGAAAACATAAATAAATTCTTGATTATAATTACTTTTTATATAATTCTGTCTGATGCTTTGTTTATTTGGTTCTGGGAGAAAGATGACTGATGTTCATACAAGTATTAAATCATAATCACAACTCAAGTATTTCAGTTTTAACCTGGTTTTAAGTCTGACTTCACCCTCAAGGTGAAGGGCTTCCCTTGTGGCTCAGCTGGTAAAGAATCTGCCTATAATGCAGGAGACCTGGGTTTGATTGGGTTGAGAAGGTCCCCTGGAAAAGGGAAAGGCTACCCCCTCCAGTATTCTGGCCTGGAGAATTCCAAGGAGTACAGTCCATAGGATTGCAAAGAGCTGGACACGACCGACAGACTTTCACTTCACCCTTAATACTGATGTATTCTGACCAGTGTACAGCAAATAGAATACATCATATATCATCTAGGATAAAGAATTCTCTAATACATCATTAGCATCTGAAAACACTGGAAAATCTAAATTAGACATGGTAATGTCCAGTAGTGATTCTTTAAAACCAGAGAATTTCAGCAATTTCTCTGACTACACATGGCACATCTCACTGCATCATGTTAGCCCCTCTTGGAATGCTTTCCCTCTGCATTTCTGCATCATGCTTTGGCTTATGGTGAGAGGTGTCATCAACAGCCTATGAACCCTGCCACTGTGTTACCATGAGGATGGCGAGGAGTGTGGTGTGCTGTGTATCCAGAGGCCCCCTCTGAGATACCACTGGAGGAATCTGTCCAGATGCAGGCTAGCTAATGGTTGTGTAGCAGGCACAAACAAGGCTCATGGGCTGTTTCTTCTAACACCTGTCTTTCTCATCCTTGTAGCCAAAGGTGACAGGAGTTTGCCCCTCTGCACGCCCTCTTACTGCAGGAAGAATTGGTGATTTAACAAATGAGAACTGCTCCTCAGAGCAACATCTCTGTTGGACAGATGGCTAACCATGCTCACCTCTAGCCTGTAATTTTCCGTGCTGTCATATTCTTAATTTCTAATTTCACAAGCCCTAAATAGGGCTCAGGGTCTGCCTTTTAAAGACAGGTCCATTTAGCCTCCTAAGTTTCAATTCTGCTGGTGACTGCATGTGTAAGGCAGGCTACAGGCCTTGTTCATGAAGCTGGTTAGACAGATAAGTGGCCCTGGTCTGTACCTGACTTGTGTGCCAAGCAAATGATAACCAAATTCTAGATTTGGATGGAAATCAGACTAACTTTGGCCTCAGGACGAAGTTGTGCTCTCCAGCACAATTTATAAAAGTTCTGTGAACTGGATAATGGTTCTTGTGGATAGTTCACTCAAAATTCTCAACATGGAGAGAGGTGAATGGTACAATTAAAGCACGCTGAACCCTTAACACCTAGTTTAGACTTCATGAAGTTTTTCTGGATCTCTGAAAATGGCCTTCAGTTCTTTTTGAAACACTGGCAGTGTAAACAAGTGTCCCTTACCAAAGCCCACGCCTAAACCAGTTACCATTCAGCCAGTCTTTCTGGGGAAAAGAGCGCCTTACTGTACTTACCTCGCTCTCCTTTCTTACTGAGCCCACACATTCATTTAGTACTGTCCGCCTTCCTAGGTTAATATGAGGTTCAAGTTAGGGACTATGTATGTGAAATACTTAGTCAACTGTTGTGTTTGTAAAAATACAAAGTGTTCATATATAGAAGGAAAAGAGACTGAAAAAATATACTACTTGAAGTCAAAGTTTGATCCTTTAAAGATGAGTAAAACACCTTTAAAATTCTAATTCAGGAATTCATGTTAATCACTAGCATTATTGATATTTTAGTATCTGGCAATTCTACTGAAATTAAAGGTCTTTTATTGAATTTAAAGTATACAGTTTTTTTACAATCATACAATTAATATAGAAATAAGTGAAAAACAAATTCTATGATATCTGGGTTTACTACCAGATTTGCTAAGTGAATAACAAATTCACGTTTCATTAACTGAATGTTGACCAACAAGTGAAAAATACATCATTCCTTTTGATGATTTCTGTGGGATGCCTGCAGTTGTATTCAAGTACAATGTAAAGTACAAGTAAAGAATGTATCAGACTACAGAGCGACTGAGATAGCAGCAGCACTGAGTAAAATGATGAATGTCCCACACCGGGGAAGGAGCATTTTGCCAGAAGATGCAGAGGGATGGCTTTTGGGACCTGGAACAGGAACTGCTGGGCCTGGAGCTGTTAATGAGAACACACAGTCACTGACACACGTTGAGTATCACATTTCATCCACTGACACCGTATTTCCTGAATATGTGAACAGACAAGTTAGATCAGAAACATACATCAAGTACTTCTAACCAGGACAACTTTGAAATAAATACAGTTCATTACAGACTGGGGGCTATATTTTCATATATATCATCAAGGTGTGCTGATCTAGGTTTTATCCAGGTTTCCACAGCCTTTTTAGTATTTAAGTAGACAAAAGTAATTTTTTGTTATATCATTAGGACATCATTTGATTTTTTTATGTGTGCAAGTGGGTCTTATCTAAGAATTTTATTTCAGAATACCGTTATAAAATATTTGTTCTAAAAGAATTGGGTTGATAGAGTTGAGAACCATTGCTTGAAAAAGTAGTCTCTATATACAGTTGAAAATCACTGCCTAAGAAACAAAATCAAGTTGCCCCCACCATTCACACATACAAGTATTTGGATGTGACATTATATTCTGTTAGGATGCTTCAAACTCGAGATTGGTGTCTTTTTTTGAAAAACTTTCTCAGTTTTTGTATATTGTAGAAACAGACATTATCAACTAAGGAAAAGAAATAGTTCTTACTAGGCTGGTTGATATCTTGGCTTTTGTCTTCTAAAATAGAAACAGATGTTCAGTTAATTGCATTGTACATCAAAGAGGAAAAAAATCTCATTAAATGATTAAGCAAACTTGGTTATCTCTGGGTGTGGGACTGAAGGGCAGGATATTAGACTTACAGGTATTGGGGGGAAGGTCTAAGTTTACTTATTTGCATGCTTTGAAATTTCTTTACAATGTGTGTATTTCCATTTTAAAAAGTTAAAATTTTGTTTAAAGTTTTTTTTATATATTAAACTCAGATTCCCAAGTGCAACTATAGCACCTACCATTTACTCAATGCTTACTGTGTCACACATTGACCAAATACTTAATGTACATTAACACTTTTACTTCTTACAGTCCTAGTAGGTAGTAGAGTTATCCATATTAATACAGATGTTTGTTCCCCAAAAGTTGCATAAAATCCCAACTTTTATGCTTGGTAATCAGTGGGAGCAATACCTGCATTCAAAGCCTCCGCTCTTAATTACTATGCTATTCCAACTCCAAGTGTATTAAAATTAAAATATTGCAATATTGCCATATTTTGATGTCTCTGAAGCCAAATGCCAATTCTAGAAGCCCAGATTAGAGGTGGATTTTCTGTAACTACATCCAGCTGGGAGACAAGGGTCATGCAACAGAAAATGAACAAAACTTGAGAAGTCTGGGTCTTGATTGTCTCCTTCTAGCCTTTTACAGGTTCCTTAACTTCTTTACATTCCATGTTTTCATCTCTTATTGGATTATATGAGATTCTGTGTACATGTTTTGACATCACCTTTAAAAAAGCCTGCACTAGACACAGTTTTCTAAGAAAGGGCACACACAATACAAAACAGTCCCAGGAAAACCGAGTGGCTTATTGTTGGAGGACATGGAGAAAGTGCAGAAAGCATGTCCCACGCTGAGCAGGGCGCACACATCCCTCCTTGACACTGCCATTCCTGTGACTACAGATTCCCTAAATGGCCTGCTCACCTGGAGAAACCTGTCCCTTCTGGAACAGACAGGTGCAGCGGGAGGCAAACTGTCCCAGCTTCAGGTCAGCTGCCTTTGTCTCTGCCTGACCCAGGGAGCCCTACGAGCAGTCTGCCTGCACAATGAAAGGGGTCCTCAGCGCCTCCCTGGGGCGTGCAGACTGGATGTCAAGCTGCGCAGCCCGAGTGTCCTCTCTCCAGACCCTTAAATGGAGCTCAGCAATTACAGTGACGGACTCAGAGCCCCGTGGTGCCTCCACCCCCACACACATAAAAGAATTTTAGAAAAAGAACTTACCAGGTTTTTCATCTGGTTGTAACATTTTTATTCCTAAATGAGAAAAAGATTTATTATTTAGATAATAATAAAGGCAACTACCATTTACTATTTTAACCCACCACCTGTTTTCACAGTGCTTTATCTCATTAGGACTTTAATCCTAAATTAGGACTTTAGTCCTGCAAGACAGAAGCTTTCATCATTTTACAGATGCAGAAGCAGAGGTCCAGAAAAAGTGAAATAACTTACACAAAGTTACCAAGAGGAAAATGGCAGAGGAGAGACTTCATGAAATTGGATCTGTCTTCACAGACCATGTGCATCCCCCATACCTGGCTAAGCAACTGCCTTTCAAAACCCAGCGTGCCTAGTAAGGTGCCAATGAGAGTACTATGTCAACTCAGGTCCAGGGAGCTGAACGAAGACAGACAAAGTGTGCGATAAGTGTCATTAGAGGCTCACTTCAAAGCTGCGGCCAAGTCAGTTCACTCACTCAAATCTGGGCGAATATAAACGTGTTGCTGGAACCTCTCCCTGGGTCAGTCAGGGTTTTAGGTTGTGAACTGTGAACGGCTGGTTCCTGCACACAGCACGTAGTACCCAAAGGTAGCAACGTTAAGCGAAGCTCAGTGCTGTGTGGACAGATGTCATTTAGCAGATGCCAGAAATCTAATTTCCTTAACAGATGATCATTCCATAATAACAAAACCTACCAAAAATTATTTTCAAAACACCTTATGAATTCAAAAGAAAGGATTAAGCACTGAATAGGGGCTTGCACCCTGAGATTTTGTGTTTTTATAGTCCTTACAGGTATCTCCATAAGGCAACGTATGTGTGTTAGCCACATTTGAAAGATGACAATTCTTAGGCATAAAGAAGTTTTATTACAGTCCATAGCTCTCTGGTAAAATACTAGATCATGTCTTTATTTTTTCTTAACCTTCTCCCTGTCTCAGAGATAAAAATTAAGTTTGAGAGTCTTTTAATATTTTTTCCTCCCCTGTTAGCATAAGTTCTGAGGTCCTTTTGACTTGACAGGAGTCACACTGTTCAATTTCTCTGGCCACAGAAAGTCAAGGCCCCTCACAAGCCTTGCCTTCAGCAACAGCCTCACACTTTTTAAAATACTTGTTTTCATGGTTATATCTTAAAGGTAGGTTAAATATGCATGATAAGTATACTGGAAAAACACTTGAGGACTCATAAATTTTAAGGAACTGGTTCTCGATCACAGGGGCTTTCCTGGTGGCTCAGACAGTAAAGAATCTGCCTGTAATGCAGGAGACCGCGGTTTGATCCCTGGGCCAGAAAGATTCCCTGGAGAAGGGAAGAGCTACCCACTTGAGACTCCCTCGGACTGCAAGGAAATCAAACCAGTCAATCCTAAAGGAAATCAACCCTGAACATTCATTGGAAGGACTGATGCTGAAGCTGAAGCTCCAATACTTTGGCCACCTGATCTGGAGCCGACTCACTGGAAAAGACCCTGATGCTGGGAAAGATTAAGAGCAGGAGGAGAAGGGGTAAGAGAGGATGAGATGGTTAGATGGCATCACCAACTTGATGGACATGAGTTTGAGCAAACTCCAGGAGATAGTGGAGGATAGAGAAGCCTGGCATACTGTAGTTCACAGGGTCACAAAGAGTAGGATATGACTTAGCGACTGAACAACAATTTGGTTATAAGAACCTAGATCTTTCACTCATGTGATCTTGCTCAAAGTACTTAGCCTCCCTGCATATCTAATTGTGACAGTTATATCTATACTTCCCAGACTGGCAGTCTCCTCTCCAGCATGCCTAACAGTGCTTACCAGGTAGTGAAAAAGATTCTGGAATTTTCATTCCTAAATGAGAAAGAAATTTTCAGTGACTTGCAGTTTATTCCAGTAAGTACAATTTTCAAACAACTTCTAGTCTCATGAACTCAAGTGATACAAGCACCAGAGATCGCACCCGCACTGCAGCTTCTGGCTTTTACTTACAAAGTTCTGGCTACCCGAACCCTCACTGTGCAAATCCATGCCAGACTCAGAAAGGCCTTCTGTCATGGCGTCTCTAAGTCTGCCTCTGCGCCAGGAGAACACTATGCTTAGTTACCTGCAGATCCTAGACGCTGAGATGCTTTTATTAATAGCCAAAGCTAACAATCAGCTTTGGCATAAAGTTGAAGTTTCTACTAAATACCTTTAGCTGTGGAATCTAAGACTTGACTGCATGCATCCAGGTTGCAGCAGCCTGCCTTCTGCCTGCCCCCAACAGAGCTAACTGTCCTGCTCCAAGAATGCACACACACATTAGGAAGGAAAGGCACCTTCCTACTCTCTTCTCCAGCTAAAATTTTGTAGAATGACAGGTAGGAAGGAGGCTGTAAGGGAAATATTAATGACTAGTTTCCTCATAACAATATTCTCTTTAATACCCAGAGGAATCCTTCTCTTCTCATACTTGGACCAAGAGTGTAAATAAAGCTGTCTTACCAGGTATCTGGGTGGCTTCCTGGCTTTTCATACCTGAAGACAGAAATGAATCTAGTTAATGTTAATCAACTATCTAGAGTTGTTAATGCTCCCTTTTGTGTATACCAGCCCCCATCTCCAAGCCTTAAAAAGGGGGGAGTGGGGGTAGGGAACAGTAACAATAAAAACACCTTTTAATTGCTCTTCACTCTCAGACTGGACAAAGCCCAAACTCCTGATGCCGGACTTAAGGACTTCATGATCTAGCCAACCTTATCTTCATAAGGCAGTCTGAATACACCAGTTTTTGAATGAAACAGTACTGGGTCTAAAACTCTGCTTGGTTTAGTTCTATTGGCATTACAGTTATTAGCTCTCTGACTGGGCAGGCTTAATCCCTCTGACCTTTATTCCCTTATTTATGCAAAAAAAAAAAAAAAAAAAAACCACCTTGCAGGTTTGTAGTAAGTGATGATTATAAAAGTGCTAAATATATTATTACATGGAACATAAGCAGCTCTCAATAACTAGAGTTCCTCTGTTTTGGCTTAACTTATTCCTCAAACTCTACATGTCCAATAATGTCCTTAGTTCTAGGAGTCCTCACATCTCCTCCTAACCTTGCAGTTAGTCTCAGAGAATAAATAAAGGCTCACTTACCAGGAAAGACAGTGGATTCCTGGCTTTTCATTTCTAAAGATGAGAACAAGAACTATTTCATGATAAATGCAGTAAGCTTGAAAATTAACCTTATGTAACTATTTACAAGTGCAAGATGACCCATTCCCAAAGTTTTTAGAGTTTTGGGTAAAAAGGAAAGAGATTTAGCACACTGGTGCCTAACTTAGAGAGAACTATGGCCAGTGATCTAGGCACATTCTAGATAAAGTGAAATATCTCTTATTGATTTATATTTTTTAGACTCTGACCTATATTTGTCATGATTTATTTTTTAAAAATAAAATTTCTTGATTATATAAGTAATTATAGATAATCTAGAAAAATACAGGAATTTATTAAAAATTACTCATAATCCCAGATATCAGAGCTATTCATTCTTAATACTGGTACATTTCCTTCTTGTCTCTTTGCTATAATATATGTATGTGTATATGCTACATACATTTTCAATACTTTTTCAATTTTACTGAGATATAGCTGACATAAAACACTGTAAGTTTAAGGTGTGCAACATAATGGCCTTAGTTACATATATTGTGGCATGACTGCCACAATAAGTTTAGTTTAACATCCAGCATCTCATATAAATGCCAAAAAAGAATTTTTTTTTCCCTTGTGATGAGAACTCTTAGGATCTACTCTTTTAACAACTTTCAAATACACCATACAGCTGTTAACTATAGTCATGTTGTACATTATATTCCTTGTACTTATTTATCTTATAAAGGGAAGTTTGTTACTTTTGACACTGTAAAGTAAATTTGACATTATATTCCATATGCTGTTTTTATCCTTTTTTAAAATTTTTATTGGGAGTATAACTGACTTACAGTGTGTTAGCTTCAGAAGTACAGTGAAGTGAATCTGTTATACATACACATATGTCCACTCTTTCTTAGATTATTTTCCCATAAAGGCCATTGCAGAGTACTGAGTAGAGTTTGTTTTTATCCTGTGGTTTTTACTGTCACTGTATTATAAGTACTTTCTTATCTTTGGGCTTCCCTGGTGGCACAGTGGTAAAGAATCTGCCTGCTAAGGCAGGAGACGTGAGTTCGATCCATGGGTCAGGAAGATCCCTTGGAGAAAGAAATGACAACCCACTCCAGGTATTCTTGCTTGGGAAATCCCATGGACAGAGGAGAATGGTGGGCTGCATCCATGGGGTGACAAAGAATGGGACACAACTCAGTGATTAAACAACAGCAACATATCTTCAGATATTTTTTGAAAACACGATTTTTAAATTGGTTAGTGTTTCATAATAAGAATGTAACTTATTTAACAATGTCCAACTGTTGGATACGAAGTTTATTTATAAATTTTTGCTACTATAACACCGTACAAACATTTCTATACATATTTTGTACACAAACTTATATGTTTATTTCCTTAGGACAAATACCTAAAAGTGTTACAGCTAGATTAAAACATACGAACATTTTAAGACTAGTGATACAAATTATTGGAAGTGTCCTCCAGAGAAGTTTGAATTTATAATCTCACCAGTAATTTATGAGCATGTTTGCATCCCAGCACCCTTGAAGAATATTATTTTTAAAAAGACCAAAAAACTTGGGAATGAGTTATACTTTAGAATTTACTAAATATTAAATGGATACAGCTAATAGCAACTATCTATATAAATGACTATATATATACTCACATATATATTTTGGCATATATATAAATATGTGTGTGTGTATATATATATATATAATCATTTTAATTTAGGAAAAAATGTCATTTTTATGCCCCTGATGAACACCCTAGGTTACAAGAGTTCGTGAAACAATTAATCACACCTTCCTCTATCCATGTAACAGCTGCTGCTGCTGCTGCTAAGTCACTTCAGTCGTGCTAGTATAAAGCAAAAAATAATAGGTTCTCTAGAACTAGTTCCACATGTCATGTCTCTAACTGTTCTACTGGGATGACCTATGGATTGTTAGTTAGAAGACAGAGAGAGCTGCTGCACCATCCTTATAAAGAAGGGTACCTGGAACTCAGGAGGGCCTCTGATACATCAAACTTGCAAGCTAAAGGTGGGTTCTGCCTTCTCCCACTTTTCCTTACCATTCCATGTCCACCTGCTCCCACACCTAAGGAAGTTGCCCTGCGAATCTAAGTAAGCTTCCAGAGTTTAGGAAAATGTCTTACCAGGGTTTTCCAGCTTCTGGTTTTCCTCACCTAAGTTACAAAAAGAAACTCATCAGTTTCAAAAATAGACCAAAGTAACTGGGAGTTATCATAGTTACAGCACAACTACTTTAAAGTAAAATGGCCATAAAGATCCTCTTGATATCCAGTAAACTAATGCTACTAAATATAAGTGTCAGCTACAAACTAAACACAGTTGGCTAAAAGGGCTGAACCAGTCCTCTGGCCCCTTCTACCAAGAAAAACTGTTACATATAGCAAGTCTTCTAGCAATCGCCACAAGCTAGAAAAACATCTGTCTTGAAGAGGTAGCTAAAGTCTCTGTGAAGTGACCAGTAAAACTTGGGGTTGCCTGAGCCAATAAGAAGTGTTACTAAGCAAGTCCTCAGATGCATGAAATGCTTCACACAAGGACAGGAAATACCTTCCAAACATCAAGTAAACTGCATACTTAAGAAAAGACTAGAAACTTTTCTCTCTTCACACTGTAGCCACATGGACCAAACATGTAATAAAGAACTTAGATAAAAAGAAGTGACCTGAGCCATATCACCATACATGGAAACTTAGCGAGGGCAGAGGGAAGCATCTACACCCAGACGTTTCAGTCAAATGATACCAAACACCAGCTTATTTAAGAAAGGCAAAAATACTAACTTTTTATACTTTCATCTGGATGTCTGGTGTCACACAGGCTGACTTCAATGACTTAATATAGAGCTCTAGCTATTAAGAGACCTCGGACCTGTCAAGAGCACCTAGCTCTCTGGGTCCCACCAACCTGACTCCCACATTGTTCAGACCTCCAGAGAGCCCACCCTGTCATTTGAAGGGAGGTAAATTTCCCCAGAATAGATTCTTTTCCTCTCTTCATATTTGCCAAGTTACTCCTTCATAGGTGCAAAGTACTCCTTTTCTCCAGCTAAGAACTGAATCTGCTGAACAGGAAAGAGCTATTAAACACCCATGTAGAGGTTATTTTTAAAAATTAGAGCATACTTACCAGGGTTGTAGACAGGTTGAAAATAGTCTAAAATACAAACATGCTTTCATTACATAGTACTATACTCAGAAGTGAATGTCAGGTTCAGTCTATTTTTACATGCTTATTAATTATAAAGATTTGGGTTGACAAATTCAAGATACAAACAAAATATGGCAATATGAGAAATATAAAATTTCAATCTTGAAAACAAATGGTTACAGATTCATTTTAATTATGTGAAGAAGAATCCACAGAAAAACTAGCCAGGAAGACAGGTAGAAATGGACCCTTATTTTTCAAACTTTTTAAACAAAGAAATCTTCAAATAGGATCCATCCAAAGTATGCACCAGCCCAAGGCATTTCTTGGCGACTTCAGTTCAAATCTGTTGAATCTAATTTGATGATGTTGTTCCTGAACATTCTTAGAATTCCTATTTACCTTTCCAAATCTTTCCCATGGTCCTCTAAGAAAGATTATTTTTGTTATATTCTCCTATTTTCCTCTGAGGAAGCAGACCAAGTTACCATTTTGTCCACCCTCCCCCCCGAGTCTTTCCCTGTGAGCCATATTCACTCCACTCCTCCTTCAGTCTCCCAAATATCACTTCCCAAGATGCCAGAACACAGGAATGGGTCCAACTCTGTGCACAGCCGTCATGCAGGGGTTCTCAGGAGCCCTGAAGTTCCTGTAGTGATGCTCTGGGGTCAGAGTGGGCATGCCCGAGGCAAATGCAGTGTTTGAGAGAACAGCCACAGGCAAAGCTGGGGCAGGGTTAAGGTGGATCCCTGCACTCCCCCCCGAGAAGGTAAGAGAGGCAGCACAACTCAGCCTTGAGAAAGCAAGGGCTGACAGTGTGACAGTATAGTGGGGTGGCTCTGACCTATTCCAGGGAGAAACAACACTGATAAAATTCCCATTACAGAGATAATACTTTAAAGCATATCTTACCCATGTTCTCAACACAACTTTCAGTTTTTAGTCCTGAAACACAAAGATAAAGTTTTATTAGTTAGACACAATTCACCCTATTAAAAACTTTAAATTGGTCTGTTGCTACTGTAATCTAATCTGTCAGCTCTGAGTCTATCAGACTTATAACTGAGTGGGAAGTAAATTACATTTTTGTTTCATAGTATAGTCACTAGAGAGCAGCAGACCTAGATACAACACCGATCTTTTCTGGAATTCAGTTTCCTCATTTATGTCTTTTTTGGGAGATTACTTCAAATAACCTCCAGAATCCCATCCAAACGGACTGATTAGTCTGAAAAAATTAGCAGAAAATTTATCTGTTTAACTAACCCTCTCTTCAGATACTAAATATCATCAACAGGTAATCTACCCCTTTACTATGACAATTTATACCCACTGGAGGAAAAGAATCTCAGTCAGAGCTTCAAGACCCTAGAACACATGAACAAACACCCTTTGCATTCATATAGAGAAATGAAGCTGACGGGTCCCGGAACACTGATCTGTGCGTAAGTAAATGCACCGTTTTTTGAGAACAGGAACATGACACTGAACGGTACATGTGTACAAGGCCCGTGACCCTCCTGCCTGTGAGGCCCTAGAGAGTCATCAGTGAGTGCCGCAGTGACTCCTCTGAGGTTTGACATAAAGGGGGAATCTGCTAGCTTGTCCAACAAAGGGTAAACCAAGAAATTCAGCGAGAGGGTGTTTAGTTTTAGTGCCAGCATGAGTCATGGAGGGATTCCCAGACACCACAGGGAGGTCCAGATGTCATATGTTCTCTTCTGTTCTCTTCTCTTAGTCTGGTTAGCTCACACACCTCATCTAGAACTTCAACTCCCTGAGGATGAACCTCTCAATCTAAGAAGTGGGTGTGAAACACCCAGCTTCACTATGAGACATGCTCATCTGTAACTGCTCTCAGATCCTGCTCCATTTATTGAGTTTCAACAAGAATCCAGGTGACTTGGTCCAGTTTCTACTGGCCAGGAAATCTGTAAGAATCTGGATGGTACCCTGAGGCCAACCTTGGTGTTTGGCTATACAAGGTTTTTTTGAAAGTTCTAGAGACTACTAGAAAATGTTGTCTCAGCAGGTGATGAGTGGGTGCAAGCCTTACCCAGAAGTTTTAGTTGAGGGAAAGGTGAAGGTGAGTGGAGCTGTGGATGAAAAAGCTACAAACATGATAGATTCAGCCTGGGGACAAGCACTGGGGAATTTTAAAAGCCTTCATCTTTTTTCTATAGCACAAATTAAGAGCAGGTTTCTCAAAGTATCAGGAAGATCCCCTGGAGAAGGAAATGGCAACCCACTCCAGTATTCTTGCCTGGAGAATCCCATGGACAGAGGAGGCTGGCAGGCTACAGTCCATGGGGTCACAGAGAGTCGGACACAACTGAGTGACTAACACTTTCATGTTCTCAAAATATAGTCTTCCAATCATATACCTCAGGACCACCTGGGCACTCATTAAAATTGTAAATTCTAAGACTCTAGCCGGGACTACTGATACATAGTTTCTGGGAAAGTTAACTTTATTGCATTCTCATTGCATTAAAATCTGCATTTTAAACAAGCATGCTAAGTGATTTTTAGGCAAAAAAATTTGAGAGCCTCATCCTTAGTAGATTGTTGTTGTTTACCTAAGTCAGAGACCCCACTGAATGTAGTCTGCTAGGCTCCTCTGTCCATGCGATTTCCCAGGCAAGAATACTGAAGTGGGGTGCCATTTTTTTCTCCAGGCGACCTCTCTGACCCAGGGATCAAACCCCATCTCATGCACTGGCAGTGGATTCTTCACCACTGAGCCACCAGGGAATCCCGTAGTAGAAAACAGTTATCTCTTAATGTTTAACACAGATCCATTTATATGAGACTGCATTTCTCCTCCCTTTCTGAGCCTAGGTTTAAAATGCCATTAGGGTTTTCAGCAGCAGGAATCAAACTATTTTGGGTTTCTAAAGAAGTAGCAGGGTTGGAGGAGAGATCAAGACGATGAGTTGGAGGACATGGAGCTCACTTCATCCCAACGAATGCATCAAAAATACATATGTAGAACAATTCTCACAAAAAACCAACTGGAAGCTGTCTGAAGAGCTCTTACACAACCAAAGTGGTGAAAAAGATTCCCACGGATGGAATGAAAAAAAAATAAAGGGCATCAGGATGGGGTAGGCAGCCTGGGGAGGGATCTGTGAAGCAGGGAGGGTCTGCAAAGGCAGGCCCTCACTCTGCGAAGGCCCTCTGTCTGCTGGGAGGTCAGAGGAGCTGCAGGACTTGGGCTTTGATTGTGAGGTGTGCAAACCTGCTGGCTTGCTAGGCATCAAGGCGGAGAGAGATGCGCTGACAGCTTCCTCCTCACAGCCCTTCTCAGCCTGAAAGACATGCCGGGTGGCCCATTAGTATGTAGAGTAGTCAGGTGGTGAAACTCCAGGAGGTGGATCCTGAGGGAGGACTCTCTTAAGCCAGGGGGAGACAGCCTGAAGGGCCTGTGGTGTTAGTTCAGTTCAGTTGCTCAGTCATATCTGACTCTTTGCAACCCCATGGACTGCAGCACGCCAGGCTTCCCTGTTCATCACCAACTCCCAGAGCTTACTCAAACTCATGTCCATTGTGTCGGTGATGCCATCCAGCCATCTCATCCTCTGTCGTCCCCTCTCCTCCTGTCCCCAATCCCTCCCAGCATCAGGGTCTTTTCCAAGGAGTCAGTTCTTTGCATCAGGTGGCTGAAGTACTGGGGCTTCAGCTTCAGCATCAGTCCTTCCAATGAATGTTCAGGACTGATTTCCTTTAGGATTGACTGGTTTGATCTCCTTGCAGTCCAAGGGACTCTCAAGAGTCTTCTCCAATAACACAGTTCAAAACCATCAATTCTTCAGTGCTAAGCTTTCTTTATGGCCCAACTCTCACATCCATACATGGCTAGTGGAAAAACCATAGCTTTGACTAGATGGACCTTTGTCGGCAATGTCTCTGCTTTTTAATATGCTGTCTAGGTTGGTCATAGTTTTTCTTCCAAGGAGCAAGTATCTTTTAATTTCATGGCTACAATCACCATCTGCAGTGATTTTGGAGCCAAAAAAAATAAAGTCTGACACTATTTCCACTGTTTCCCCATCTATTTGCCATGAAGTGATGGGACCAGATGCCATGATCTTAGTTTTCTGAATGCTGAGTTTTAAGCCAACTTTTTCACTCTCCTCTTTCACTTTCATCAGAGGCTCTTCAGTTGTTCTTCGCTTTCTGCCATAAAGGTGGTGTCATCTGCATATCTGAGGTCATTGATATTTCTCCCGGCAATCTTGATTCCAGCCCAGCATTTCGCATGATGTACCCTGCATATAAGTTAAATAAGCAGGGGGACAATATACAGCCTTGACTTACTTCTTTTCCAATTTGGAACCAGTCTGTTGTTCCATGTCCAGTTCTAACTGTTGCTTCTTGACTTGCCTATAGATTTCTCAGGAGGCAGGTAAGGTGGTCCAGTATTCCCATCTCTTTAAGAATTTTCCACAGTTTGTTGTGATCCACACAGTCAAATGCTTTGGCATAGTCAATAAAGCAAAAGTAGATGTTTTTCTGGAACTCTTGCTTTTTTGATGACTCATTCAGCGGATGTTGACAATTTGATCTCTGTTTCCTCTGCCTTTTCTAAAGCCAGTCTGAACATCTGGAAGTTCACGGTTCACGTATTGCTGAAGCCTGGCTTGGAGAATTTTGAGCATTACTTTGCTAGCGTGTGAGATGAGTGCAATTCTGTGGTAGTTTGAACAGTTTTTGTCATTGCCATTCTTTGGGATTGCAATGAAAACTGACCTTTTCCAGTCCTGTGGCCACTGCTGAGTTTTCCAAATTTGCTGGCATATTGAGTGCAGCACTTTCCCAGCATCATCATTTAGGATTTGAAATAGTTCAGCTGAAATTCCATCACCTCCACTAGCTTGGTTCTCAGTGATGCTTCCTAAGGCCCACTTGACTTCGCATTCCAGGATGTCTGGCTCTAGGTGAGTGATCACACCATTGTGGTTATCTGGGACATGAAGATCTTTTTTGCATAGCTCTTCTGTGTGATTCTTGCCACCTCTTCTTAATATCTTCTGCTTCTGTTAGGTCCATACTATTTCTGTTCTTTATTGTGCTCATCTTTGTGTGAAATGTTCCCTTTGTGTCTCTAATTTTCTTGAAGAGATCTCTATAGTCTTTCCCATTCTATTATTTTCCTCTATTTCTTTGCACTGATCATTGAGGAAGGCATTCTTATCTCTCCTTGCTATTCTTTGGAACTCTGCATTCAAATGGTCTGGGCCAAACCAGAGCCCACTGCCAGCATTCATGGAGGGGCTGGACTCCAGCAGTGGACTTTGTCGGTGGGCACCGTGGGTAGCAAGCAAGGCAGACAGTCCCCTTGGGAGGAGTACTCAGCTGTTCCTTTCCTGGCAGGGGTGTTCCAGTTCTGCCCATGTCACATAGCAACTTAGAGCTGGATCTGGGGTAGAGAGATCCTGGGGAGAACCCTATCACAGAGGCAGCCCCAATGCCAGGCGGCAACACAACCACCTCACTTCCTGCAGCCACAATGCCCCAGCCTCCAGCACCAGCTGAACACTAGGCAAGAAATGCATGAGACCTTGGACTGCTTCTGGGCAGAACTGTGTGGGCCTGCTTGGACACAGATTCACTATGACCACATGAGCCTCACCTGATTCAGTGTTCACCTTCTTGGGGACAGGTCACATACTTAAGGGCAATGGAGCTTTATAGAACTGACCCTCAGGATTTCTAATGGGGAGCAGATCCCACCCCACGACAGGCTGTGACAGCCCCGGAGCAAAAAGGAGGCCCCGCCCAACATCCGGTGCAGGCTGTGGTCACCACAACACCAGTCACCCCTTATCAAGGGGATAACAGTTAGCACACTTTGAAGGAAAGATCCCATGCCAAAAGAAGCCCTCATACCAAAATTACTGGACCCACAGTCTACTCAGGGATGCTCCCACATAAAAACCAGC